TCCCGTTCGAGCTGATCCGAATCACCAAGTTGAGCTTGTATAGATGTCGACCTCTATGACAGCCAGAAATGCCCGACAGCTTTCAAATGGAGACACGGTTCCGGACCTAGTTAACTCCAAGCGAATGCCTCCCACCAATCAGGTCTTCTCCACAGGATGAGGGCAACGGACCCACATTTTTAAACCTGCTTCACGTTTTTGGTACATATGTCACGCAATTACTTGCGAGTAGTGTGGGATTGTTTAATTTTCGTTTGATTGACTGTCCTCTTGGACTCCACGTTTCACGCGCAAACCTCAGGTCATCCGACCAACCTGCACTCGGAAGCACCAGACTCGAGTTTCGCTCTTGTTAGAGCTCATCAGTGGTGCATATCCTCCGCCACACCCAGGGTTTGAACCCGGGCCCTCCCATCTCGAAGGCGTGTGTGTTACCACTGCGCCACCCCGCTCCCGTTCGAGCTGATCCGAATCACCAAGTTGAGCTTGTATAGATGTCGACCTCTATGACAGCCAGAAATGCCCGACAGCTTTCAAATGGAGACACGGTTCCGGACCTAGTTAACTCCAAGCGAATGCCTCCCACCAATCAGGTCTTCTCCACAGGATGAGGGCAACGGACCCACATTTTTAAACCTGCTTCACGTTTTTGGTACATATGTCACGCAATTACTTGCGAGTAGTGTGGGATTGTTTAATTTTCGTTTGATTGACTGTCCTCTTGGACTCCACGTTTCACGCGCAAACCTCAGGTCATCCGACCAACCTGCACTCGGAAGCACCAGACTCGAGTTTCGCTCTTGTTAGAGCTCATCAGTGGTGCATATCCTCCGCCACACCCAGGGTTTGAACCCGGGCCCTCCCATCTCGAAGGCGTGTGTGTTACCACTGCGCCACCCCGCTCCCGTTCGAGCTGATCCGAATCACCAAGTTGAGCTTGTATAGATGTCGACCTCTATGACAGCCAGAAATGCCCGACAGCTTTCAAATGGAGACACGGTTCCGGACCTAGTTAACTCCAAGCGAATGCCTCCCACCAATCAGGTCTTCTCCACAGGATGAGGGCAACGGACCCACATTTTTAAACCTGCTTCACGTTTTTGGTACATATGTCACGCAATTACTTGCGAGTAGTGTGGGATTGTTTAATTTTCGTTTGATTGACTGTCCTCTTGGACTCCACGTTTCACGCGCAAACCTCAGGTCATCCGACCAACCTGCACTCGGAAGCACCAGACTCGAGTTTCGCTCTTGTTAGAGCTCATCAGTGGTGCATATCCTCCGCCACACCCAGGGTTTGAACCCGGGCCCTCCCATCTCGAAGGCGTGTGTGTTACCACTGCGCCACCCCGCTCCCGTTCGAGCTGATCCGAATCACCAAGTTGAGCTTGTATAGATGTCGACCTCTATGACAGCCAGAAATGCCCGACAGCTTTCAAATGGAGACACGGTTCCGGACCTAGTTAACTCCAAGCGAATGCCTCCCACCAATCAGGTCTTCTCCACAGGATGAGGGCAACGGACCCACATTTTTAAACCTGCTTCACGTTTTTGGTACATATGTCACGCAATTACTTGCGAGTAGTGTGGGATTGTTTAATTTTCGTTTGATTGACTGTCCTCTTGGACTCCACGTTTCACGCGCAAACCTCAGGTCATCCGACCAACCTGCACTCGGAAGCACCAGACTCGAGTTTCGCTCTTGTTAGAGCTCATCAGTGGTGCATATCCTCCGCCACACCCAGGGTTTGAACCCGGGCCCTCCCATCTCGAAGGCGTGTGTGTTACCACTGCGCCACCCCGCTCCCGTTCGAGCTGATCCGAATCACCAAGTTGAGCTTGTATAGATGTCGACCTCTATGACAGCCAGAAATGCCCGACAGCTTTCAAATGGAGACACGGTTCCGGACCTAGTTAACTCCAAGCGAATGCCTCCCACCAATCAGGTCTTCTCCACAGGATGAGGGCAACGGACCCACATTTTTAAACCTGCTTCACGTTTTTGGTACATATGTCACGCAATTACTTGCGAGTAGTGTGGGATTGTTTAATTTTCGTTTGATTGACTGTCCTCTTGGACTCCACGTTTCACGCGCAAACCTCAGGTCATCCGACCAACCTGCACTCGGAAGCACCAGACTCGAGTTTCGCTCTTGTTAGAGCTCATCAGTGGTGCATATCCTCCGCCACACCCAGGGTTTGAACCCGGGCCCTCCCATCTCGAAGGCGTGTGTGTTACCACTGCGCCACCCCGCTCCCGTTCGAGCTGATCCGAATCACCAAGTTGAGCTTGTATAGATGTCGACCTCTATGACAGCCAGAAATGCCCGACAGCTTTCAAATGGAGACACGGTTCCGGACCTAGTTAACTCCAAGCGAATGCCTCCCACCAATCAGGTCTTCGCCACAGGATGAGGGCAACGGACCCACATTTTTAAACCTGCTTCACGTTTTTGGTACATATGTCACGCAATTACTTGCGAGTAGTGTGGGATTGTTTAATTTTCGTTTGATTGACTGTCCTCTTGGACTCCACGTTTCACGCGCAAACCTCAGGTCATCCGACCAACCTGCACTCGGAAGCACCAGACTCGAGTTTCGCTCTTGTTAGAGCTCATCAGTGGTGCATATCCTCCGCCACACCCAGGGTTTGAACCCGGGCCCTCCCATCTCGAAGGCGTGTGTGTTACCACTGCGCCACCCCGCTCCCGTTCGAGCTGATCCGAATCACCAAGTTGAGCTTGTATAGATGTCGACCTCTATGACAGCCAGAAATGCCCGACAGCTTTCAAATGGAGACACGGTTCCGGACCTAGTTAACTCCAAGCGAATGCCTCCCACCAATCAGGTCTTCTCCACAGGATGAGGGCAACGGACCCACATTTTTAAACCTGCTTCACGTTTTTGGTACATATGTCACGCAATTACTTGCGAGTAGTGTGGGATTGTTTAATTTTCGTTTGATTGACTGTCCTCTTGGACTCCACGTTTCACGCGCAAACCTCAGGTCATCCGACCAACCTGCACTCGGAAGCACCAGACTCGAGTTTCGCTCTTGTTAGAGCTCATCAGTGGTGCATATCCTCCGCCACACCCAGGGTTTGAACCCGGGCCCTCCCATCTCGAAGGCGTGTGTGTTACCACTGCGCCACCCCGCTCCCGTTCGAGCTGATCCGAATCACCAAGTTGAGCTTGTATAGATGTCGACCTCTATGACAGCCAGAAATGCCCGACAGCTTTCAAATGGAGACACGGTTCCGGACCTAGTTAACTCCAAGCGAATGCCTCCCACCAATCAGGTCTTCGCCACAGGATGAGGGCAACGGACCCACATTTTTAAACCTGCTTCACGTTTTTGGTACATATGTCACGCAATTACTTGCGAGTAGTGTGGGATTGTTTAATTTTCGTTTGATTGACTGTCCTCTTGGACTCCACTTGGTGATTCGGATCAGCTCGAACGGGAGCGGGGTGGCGCAGTGGTAACACACACGCCTTCGAGATGGGAGGACCCGGGTTCAAACCCTGGGTGTGGCGGAGGATATGCACCACTGATGAGCTCTAACAAGAGCGAAACTCGAGTCTGGTGCTTCCGAGTGCAGGTTGGTCGGATGACCTGAGGTTTGCGCGTGAAACGTGGAGTCCAAGAGGACAGTCAATCAAACGAAAATTAAACAATCCCACACTACTCGCAAGTAATTGCGTGACATTCTTCGTTGTGATCAATTTCACATGCATGCACACACACACACACACACACGTGCACAGACAGATTTGGATGATCATCCCCTTTGTTGGTTTGAGTCATATTTAATGTTATGTGTTGGTCCGAGTACGAATAACTGAAAACGAGCATGTTTACCGCGCTGTTTTGTTCTCAACTGCAGTTCCCCTATTCGCGACCTGGGGATGCACGTGGTAGCATAAAGCTTTGCACTTTTCACCATGGACAGTCGGGGGGGGGGGGGGGGGGGGTAGATAAAGTTCGTATTAACTGGTCGCTTGGCCGTGGCATATATGGGAAGCACAACTGACGTACTAATTAATCGATCATTTCGTTCGATTCTGTAAGATAGTGTGTTCGCCACGTCAACACCGATAATAGGGACAGATCGAATAAGCTGTAACAGTAGGTGTTAGTACAATTCGAAATCCTACCACAGTCACGGCTTCTTGTAAACAGTAATCATCAGAGTGTATACAAAAATAAGGAAATTGACGTCTTTACCGAAATGATTTCAGAAAGGAAAACCAATATCACCGTGATTTCACCGCATCTCAACGTGTTGCCTACCGCAGAATAACATGCTTTATATGGACTGATGGAAAACAATGTTATTCGGAAATTCGGAAGTAACAAGAGGGCAAAGTGCAATTCTATCCCCTTGTTAACGTGCTATCCCTCCCGTTGACAGTGCAGATTTGCATTGATGTATGGCAATTGCCTCAGTGAACCTTACTAATTTCGTCTTCCTTGTGCCCGCAGAAAACAGCATTCAATGGCTGACGACAAGATCTTATGATTTAAACCGGTCGTTGTACTTTTGTCCTGACCTTTAATCTATCCGGTTACGTAATTGTCATCTTGCTGACTCATGTGGATAGCTTATCATTTTTTGAACATCATATTATTCCATGAGCATTTCGAATCAGGAAAGATAGCTTGTGTCATTAAGTCGACTGTGATTCCATCAATGCATCTGAGCATGTCGTGGCAAGCGAAAAACTGATATACATGGGGCCACAATAAAAATAATTGGTCCAGTGGCTGCGTAACGAAAAAAAGAGTTGGCAATGGGCATGTGAGAACAAGAATTGAGATCAAATTCGGGAAACGAAGACGCTGCGGTCAGCGATTATTTATATCCGCCGTCGTCTTTCATCTTCATGCAAGCACATCATACTGATAGTTTCATGATCTACTGAATTTTGTTCGATGTTTGAAGATCCTATTCAACAAATAGTTTACAGACAGACCCATTTTACTTTTCTTCTTTCAGAGAAATCCGAGATGATCTACTGCCTACACCGCTGAAATTCCACTACACTTTTAATTTGCGCGAATTGTCCCGACTACTGCAAGGTCTTCTGCAGTCTTCATCTGATCGATTTAAAGGGCCGAAGAAGTTCTTGCGTCTCTGGAGACACGAGTGTATTCGTGTGTTTCGGGATCGAGTGGTTGATGAAGCTGATATGGCCATTGTAAATGTAAGCATTGAGTTATTGCTTACAGATCATTTTGGTGCCGTACTGCTGTCCAACAGAAATTGCTTAAATCCGCCGTGATGAAGCTAGATCATATATCGGAAAGCATAGATGTGATTGAAAATCCGGCTGTTGCAGGTTTTCCGCATCCATATTGGATTGAACAGTCAGCACGCTGGACACAGTGTATAATTAAAAGAAACTTCAACGGGAAATACTGTGTAAAAGTAGACGATAAGAAACTGCTTTCTTGACTGAATACACAAGGAGAACTTAGAGCGAACCGTTATCAATGCGGTCTAGTATGGAATGTGATTTGCACGATAACGCTTGTTTGTTCTCAGCGCTTGCTTGTGTTGAGCCTCACTTTTCCTAGTAAGTACGTATATTAATTCTGTTCATGACAGACCAGTGGGACAACGAACCAATGGATCTTACTGAATCTAAATGGATTAGGGTGGTTGGGACATGTGTTACGCATGCCCACCGATAGATTTCCTCAGCGTACGCTGTCCTCTGAGGCGATTGGTGATTGGAAGGTAGGTCGAGGTGGTCAGCCTATGACATGGCAAAAAGGCATGAAAACCTTGACCAGTGGACTTGGCCGAGTAGGACGTGTTAGACTTCCAGGTTAGGGTCCACGTGATCCGGCTACCAAATGGTTGGAGACATTAAGTGATATGGCTAGGTGTTGCGGTCAGTGGCGTAGTTACATTCGGTGCCAAGCGGTCGACTGTTCAAACTTGTGAGAAAACTCTACTTTTTTAATCGAATGGACAAGCAGCTCAAAGTGACCATCAAATCATGCGCATACGAAATTGCCATAACCATCACTTTCGCATACTACATTCTTTTCGATGTAGCAAATCATCCTGTCGAATATGAGTGACATATTCCCGGATGAGGCTAACTACGCGAGCATGGACCCGATCCTGTTCGGTGATTATTGGGCGGCAGCGAGCGAAGAAGACGCGCGACTGTACGAAGATATGCAAGATTATGAGGTTTGCAAAGCGGTTGTCGAAGAGGTGAGATATATCGAAATGCGTTATGGTAATTCTTTATTGATCAATGTGTACAGGTCAGCCTCCATTTTCTACACAGCTTTTTGGTGACGTGATTTCGAGTGTTTCGCGGTGCGAAAGTCAAACAAGCATGGAGTGCCACTTTCTGATTAGATGTCACTAGTGCATGTCCTCCACCGCACCCAGGGTTTGAACTCAGGCCCTCTCGCTTGGAAGGCGTGTGCGCCACCCCGCTCCCGTCCGGGCTGATCCGAATCGCCAATTTTACTTTGTTCGGATGTCGTCCTGTATGACAGCCAGAAATGCCCGACAACTTTGAATGGAGATATGGTATCCGTCTCGTTAACTCCAAGCGAATGCCTCCTACCAAAAGAGGTCTTCTCCACAAGACGGGCCGTTGTACCCACATTTAAACCTGCTTTACGCAATGACTCGGGAGTAACATGTGGGATCAGCCCGGACGGAAGCAGGTTGATGAGATGATAGTAGTCAGCTAGGTTTGTTGTGTATGAGGACCGAAAAATCGTTAAATTATTTCCCTCAAACGAAGATCAACGACACAAGTACTGGTGATCTATAACTTTGAAATTTTCATTTTTAACTGCACATTGGCTACATTAAAGGTACAGACATAATCAGTCGGGCTTTCCGTTCGTATTTCTACGAATATGAGCTCGCTCATTTGGGATTAATCTGGTCAGGATGATAGACGTTGATATTCATTACCCGTGTCGGCGCGCATTCATACAAAATGAAATAATGATTTGTTCAGTGTTATTTAAATCATTGGAAACGTCGAAATAGGCTATCCGATCTGTCAAATGCTGGCTACTTAAACAGTGAAAATACTTGGAAGCACACCAAGAAGATCAGCCGTAAAACAGCTGGTTTACACCTTGTTAGCAGTTAAAGCCATCTGCCGCATTAGTGCCCTTCCTTTAATAATGGAGCATTTCATTTATGGCTAATCATAGACTTCAAGCTATGCGGAGGTGATCGGTACCGATCCAGTTCATATTTGTTTATTACCAGACCATTCTGATTAATATGAATATAGAAATATCGAAGACATTGAATCGGGTTGTTTTGGCATGAAAAGAACCGGTTGGTCGTTATCTGACCATGACCATTCCAACTAGCAAAGTAAGATGTTCAAAAACACCTTCAACCTGAGAAAGGCACTCCACTCTACTGAGCTATTTCAGCTGAACAGCCTTTAGCATGGAAGCTGGGATTCCCCGGCACATCTCGGCTATCTTGTCCTTTAGACCCTCGATTTCCTCCGGTTTCTCGTGCTACATTGCCAACACCCAGTCTGTCCTTCCCTGCAGACCAACGTCATTACAGTGAGCCATGAGATGCACATGCAGAGTGTGTCCATCATTGGGGCCAAGGCTTGAGGCAATGGCATCAGGGGCGACAGGACGGCGGTTCGATGGCGTGGATCAAAGGAATGAGTGAAGAGTCTTATCAAGCGGGGTTTAGCTTTAACACCAGTCAGTTAGAAGGCTTGGCCCCCCACATTAGTCAGAACAGCACGTTTTGTGCGGTGGATGATTAAAAAAATCAACGCCCTATTTAGTCGTGTTTTAATCTAATAAAATGAGATTGTTCGCGAGCAAAGAGTTCGTCCTGGCTATGGTGTGACAACATTCAACACATCCAACTCTACAAATAACGCCACAGAAAAAAAACTCCAGTTTCACAACTTGGTCCGCACAATGACTGATCTTTGGCGTTCTGATCTGTTCCATGATTTCACGCTTCTGGATCTTGAAAGTCGTCCAATGTGAAGATGCACAGACGTAGACCCGGTGTGCTTGTCGTATACACAGATCCATGGCTTAATCATGATTACGTCATCACGTAAAAAAACCGGAGTGACTTGAAGTTTGGTCCATCAAAAGAGCTAAGCTGAGCTGCGCTTATCGACCGCGAAGTCCACATGCATCATCGTTCTTGCTACGTGATCAAGAATCAACTGAGTGCCTCGTCTACCCGTTTGCACGGCCTAGTCAATGTGACTGAACTAATCGATTGATTGGAGTTAGATTCCATCAACGTGACTTATCGTTAACCGCCGTCGTTAACTCGACCCGTCATCGTTACGGTGTTAAATAGCCCACTGGTTTTCAGAAACCTGGTTAAATTACGAAGATTTATTTAAAGCAAAATCATATATCGTCGTTTTTCGCAGCTCTGCTTTCTCATGGAAATCAACAAACGCACAATTTGGATCAATCGTACACTCCAGTACTCGACAATAAACCCGAGAATTTGCTATGGCAAACACTTTAAACTGATCCAGTAACTTCTGTGCTGCTCGGATTGCACTAGCCTCACATTCATCTTTTTTTTTGCGACGCCTAGGTTGATTCGTAACAAATTCATGTAAAAACTGAAAATGAAATTTGACAACATTGTCTGTCTCTTTATGGGACTGGATGCCACTTCTGCTTGTGCAGTTGCAAAGCCAACCTTTGGAAGCCTAAAAGTCATCAAGTTGCAGCTTCTGTGATATTTCCATGGCCTTCTTTCGAACGATGCTCTCCGCAATCGGGAACTCATCATGCTTTTCCCTCATAGCGGTAAACGATGCAAAAGTCACCTAATTTACTGCTCGGAACTTTTCATTAGTTTTAAGGTGGCACCTTTCTTGAGAAGCACCAGTGTTCAGAACATTTTTGATAGCAGCTGGGTAAGAAATAAAATTGTAAATAGTCTTCCCTGAAATACCAAGTGGCTTAACCACCCAGCTCTGTGTTGCAAAAAGCTGACTAACCAAATCCAGCACATTCTTCTCTGATGGACAATTTCTCTGTCATTGTCACGACAAATGCCACCGAATCGCACTCCCGGTATTCGTGTGCGTTATCCAATCAATGAACAGCATAATGGTTGCCACAACAATAGAGACATCATTAGCTGAATGCGACATTGCATGTCCGTTTGTCAATGGCCAAGCCGTGCATCGGTAAGCGAGGTGAGAAAGTAATGGGAGGTGCGACATACTGCCAGGGGACATTACATGTTCAGCTCTCACGTTACTACACATACGGTTGGTTTGGGTTTGCTGAAAAGTGGGAAGATAACAGAAGATATTACTTTCCATAGGTGCGACATAGCAGGCGACTGACTGTAATAATTAGGATAATTAGTCTCACAAGTTTGGGTCAAAATTGGATGAGAGGATAGGAGTGGTTAGTCGTGTCCGACAAGTTGCTGTCCGACTGATTGCATAATAGCATTGTTACGGTGGCGATAGTTTGTTATGTCATATCTTGGGGCCACAGCATCATCAAATTCTGGGGAATTTATTTTCTTGCTTAGGTCGGGTTTTGGGATTCATGTAGTCAGTGTCTCTACTTCTGGCTTTATTCAAAAGACTGATAAGGACTTGGCAGATGATTATGGATGATATATAAACTAACCCCGAATGCCCTGTACTTACAAAGTGTTTCACCATAAGGCTTCTTGTTATTGTTTTCTATGGTCAAGCTAATTGGCGTTCTTGTATTCTTTTGATAAATTGTTGACTGGTAAGACCGATGTCGGCTGATCCGCATGAAAGGGCAAATACAGTAAGTGGTAGTGTACGGTTTGAATATATGCACTCATTTCAGCCGTATAAAACCTACTCCATTAAAAGGTGAACACGGTGAACCATATCGATTCAAATACGTTGGTACTAATAGCTAGAGATGAGTTTAGGTGTTTGCGAATTTTAAACAGTACGAGAATTTGAGAGCATTCTTATTCGTCCGATTTCTGTCGTTTTTGTAATTGGTTGAACTTGGTTTTCGGCTGCTTCACATTCTATGCTTCGATTCATTTTGTCCTCAACTGGACGATGCTTCTAGGTAGCCACCGAATCGATGGCACATAATTGCGAAGTTAATGGCTGAATGTTCTGAACTGAACATATCAAACAACTTCTTATGCAGTATCAGTGATCAGTTTGCTAATGGGAAATCCGCGAAAGCACTGTGCACAGTTGTTTCTTTCCGTTTGTTGAGAATCACCAGTTTTAGTGCATTTTCACTAAGTCCCTTCTAGGATTCTAGTCCATAATGCCGGACAGTAGCACATTTTTTCGTTTTTTTGCAATAATTTCATCATGTCTAAACCTCTGCTCATTCGATCGCTATATAAGTGGTGATGTGTTAAATTGTAAGTCCATCGGCGAATATATGGTTCTGTTGTGTAGTGTTCACGTGAGGCAGACTGTTCTTAGTTAAACCGGATAGTATAATGGGAATATGCGGATTAGTTATGAACTAACAAGTTGGTTTAGATTTGAACTTAGCGTTTCCTCCGAGAGAATACCTTCATTCCGTCAATGAGTAATTGAATAAACGCGTACGTATGCGAATTAATTGGTGAAGTTGAAATTATATCTGTTGGAATTCTTGAATGGGTTCCATTAGACCCATTCACGCGAGACACTAGGCGTTACTAATCTATCTTCATTATTCATTTATCTCCCACGGACATGTATTATTCTTTCTTTGATGAGGTTTATAAATTTTTTTTGAATCTCCAGCTCTTGTTCAACTATCGTGAAACCGAGGGAAACATGGATGTGGTCCTGTTCAACGATGCTCTAGAACACTTGGGTGCTATTCATCGTATACTCCGTCTGGATGGAGGCAACGCATTGTTGGTGGGGGTCAGCGGTTCCGGGAAAAAATGTCTTGCCTGTCTTGGCGCCTACATTGCCAATGCCAAAACATACGAGATTGTCCTGCGACGTGGCTATGGAGAAAATGAGTTTCGTGAAGATTTGAAGAAACTCTACTCCGGCATGTCATCCACCAAATCGGACTATATGTTCCTGCTTTGCGAGGAACATATCCGTGACGAATGTGAGCTTTTATATGCTTAACATAAACGCGGTATTTTAGGGATCTTTTTATATTTCTTAAAAAATCAAAGATGTGTCAGTAACATTCGAGGCGTCTAGTACACGAACACGTGTGATCCGTACCATTCTTAATCCAGAATGGTGACCCTCATCATTTCCGTGTTCTATTGCTTGTCCCCTTTTTTATTGTCTTCAGTCTATGAGAACCGGGGCGCCCAATGTACGATTAATGGCTACTCGGATTGAATTATACTATTATCTTTCAATTTTTATTTCATGAAAGGAAAGTAATTTGAATCGCCAGTTCCTCAACACTGATTGCCATATTAGAGGACTGCAACTACTTTTAAGAGTGAGGGGGGGGGGGAGTGATACAGTAGGTATCATCCTGGTTCTTTTCTCGTTTTGTCTATTTCTTGATAAGAAATGCAGGAATGTGTTAATTACCTCTATGGTTTAATACAAATGCGTGATTTGTGTGATAACCTACATTAGTAACCTGTCAACCGGTTTCCCGGCATATTTATCTGAATATGCCAATTGTAAGTGTATCTATTGATCTTGTACAAAACGCAGCCCACCTTCGCTGGCAGACTACCCTCATCACCGTGAACCGGGCGAGGCACAAACGTTGTGCGCAGCGGTTATTAGTGAGGATTCAGTTAATCAGTTCCTTATGATAGCAATCAATTAAGTATTGCAGTTTAATCAAACCGGACCGGCCAGTCATAAGAAGCGGATGTCAAAAATACATAAACCAATTGGTTCCGGGCAAATTCTGGTTACACTCTTGCGACATCTTTATATATATATATATATATATATATATAAATATATATATATATATATATATATATATATATATATATTCTCTCGATGTTTTACTTTAGTAAACGAGATTGTTCATAGGAGAAGTTTTCTTCCTCGTTACGGTGGAACACTACAGAACACCGAAGATATAGCTCCCTGTCAGTCTACTTCTGAAACTCAGCATTCCAATAAATTTAACAGTAATCCGTTTCGTATTTATCATTTATCTGTTCATTCTGGTTCAACCCCATGTTTATAGAAATGCTTTGAAACCATATTTACCCTTTACCACAGAACCAGTAACTAGAGCAAATTCTGTCTGTGATCTGCGATCAGGTGAAACGAATTTATGGTGCAATCCAAATAATTTTGTGTTTATTGGTGAATAAGTGGTAGGTGCTGGCAGAATGAAATGTTTGCGCCAGGATGAAACATTGCGTGTTGGGATGGAGTAATTTTAAGAAATCATATTGTCTTATGAACTCTTCCAGTACTTGCACGGTCGTTATCAACCTTGGGAACTATCAGAGATATGGTTTGGTTCAATGTACAGTGCACGATATCATTATGATTGTCTCTCCTTATTTTCACTCAGCTTTCTTGGAACTGATCAACAATATGCTCACCACCGGGTTTGTCAGTGCATTGTTCAGTGAAGATGAGAAAGACGCAATACAACAGAATATCTGGACAGAAGCCGAAGCTCGAATTCGTGCGGAAGCCATGGCGAGCGGGGCACTCAATGTGCCCGTGAACAAGGAGACTGTGTGGAACTACTTTAAAGCAGATTGTGCTTCTCGGTTACATATTGTTCTCTGTATGAACCCTACCGGGGACGCTTTGCGTACTCGATGTCGTGATTTTCCGGGTATTACCAAGTGCACTACCATTGACTGGTATTTCCCCTGGCCAGAGCAAGCTTTGTACGCAGTCGCCTGCAGTCTGATTGATCCCAAGGTACTGGTTTGGAAATACAAACGAGTACTGCCATTCCTGTTATCAATTTGTTAGCATTCGCGGCTTATTAATTACTGTATTGTTGAACATGGACACATTCAACATCTATCAAGTTAAAGATTTTTTCTGAGTAGCGAGAACAAGACTGGTTTTCGTCAAAGCACGACACTCGTGATGCCGTCATGACAGTAGACTCTCTTTAGAAGGTTGGGTTTACAATGCCATAAAGCGCGTGTCTAACCCTACGGTCGCGAGACGTAACATGTCCGTGCTGAGAGTGGTCAGCAGCCAACCATGTTTGAGAGTTGTTTTCTCGAAAAGATTGCTCATGTCTCATAGTAACAAAGAGTGACGTTGAGGTTCGTCCTCGTGAGCTAGGCATGGAAAACCGTCCCCTTTAGAGATAATCATAAGTCATAGTTTTTTGTGGTTCTGCTATGTTTGTTAGGTGCCTGTCCATCATCTACCTTACTGCGCACTAGTTGCACTGCTGAGCAACGCTTCAAAAAGCGACGCGGCGATCAAGTATGAACTGGTGTATAGATCCGAGTGAGCTAACATCGGCACTGGCTGGTTGCAGCCCAGCGGACAAAGATTGTCGTCGGCTGAAGAAATTGGGGTGTATTGTTACGAATCAAATCCAGTGATGCAAATGTCGTATGCTGGACCTAGGAAAATAGTACGGTTTTTCACCGGAAAACGATTGAAACAGTATTGACATCAAGCAGTGTTTAATATGAACAAAAATTATTTTGTATGCACCATTATTCCGTCATACGTAGCGTCTCTGAGCTTCTTTATATTCAAGTTGCGGCGATGGCTCTTGCATGTCCTCAGGATGAGTAGTGGTTGCAAAATGACCAAAGGTGGCCCATTCATAATATAGACGAAAAGATAAAACTCCTAACCAGTGGACTTGGTCATGTAGGGCCTGTTAGACTTCTTGGGTAGGGTCCAAGAGACCCCCCCCCCAATCTGTGGTTAGACTCGTTACAGGATATATCTAGGTTTCGTGATCAATGATGCTCCTACGTTAACAAACTCTGTTGACTTAATATCACTATTTATGGGTATTTCACTACGCTTTTCTTACCTTTGTTGACTCATTATTCCCAAATGAGCTCGGCACTGAGAGATAACAACCAAGGCCAACACACCCAGTGCATGGTCATTGGTTGCTTGAAAGGAAGTGAAGTGAAGTCAGGCGAGCTATACTATTCTGTTCTATACTATACTACACTATATCGCTTCTGAATGCACGTTTCTATTTGGCCCCAGATTTGGCGTGTACTTCTTGTTCAAAAAACAAAATGTCATTCTCAGCAGTAATGATTTCTTTGTGACCATTTTACTAATAGATCTTTCCACATTTTTACGTCTTACAACTACTCCTGTTTACATGTGCAGTTCAGTCAAGTGCCTGCAGCACATTGGGAAGCGGTTGTGACGAATGTGGTCAATATCCATCGATCCGTCCAAACGGCGTCGGCCGATTTTAAGCGACAACTGCGCCGAATCAACTACGTTACGGCAACCAACTATATTTTGTTTATTAACGGATTTCTCAAGCTTTTAGAAAGCGAAATAAAGTAAGTAACTATTCAGTTTGACATGACTAATTTGGATCAGCCCCGCACACATTAGTGAACCTCACTGATAGGAGTCGGTTTAGTGCAACATGAGTTCAGTTCAGTTCAGTTTAATAACCAAAACCCTCTAACTCGTGTGCTCTGGTTTTGATTTCCTTTACTCCCTTGTCACTTTGAGATCAAAAGTGAAACCTGTTTAAGTATAAAGAGGAAACAAACGGAAGAAAGTTGGATGAAAATCACGTAGATAAAGATAGGGAACGAATACAAGTGAGCCGCTAATCGCGGAAATTATCTATGTTGTCTACAGTGAACCCGACCCGGGAGCCTGATACCTGCTACTCAGCCAAGCCAACTGGATGAGGCTTTCACACCTTTTCCCCATATCATGAACTAGCCATCTGGACTCATTCACCAAACATTACTCGCCTTGAACGACGGTGTGCACCGATGAATTCAATACAGGCATGTGCAACACGCCCAACCTGGTTGAATTAAGCACTTGCTCCACAGACTGACCTGTCTTCCAAAGCAGCACGTTTAACCCCAATGTTGCTGATACGATGTTCTTACTATAATTTAGCAATACTGCAAAGAAATCGGAAATCTATGTGTATTATCTACCCGTAACGGACAGGTTTCTGAGGCGCATGATGAATAGGCTTAACCGTTGCAGGGTGGACAAACGGATGTTATGTAGACATTATAGGTGGCTCAGATTGGTAAAAGTGAAACGGGTTTCCCGTATACTTCATCCAAAATAAAACCACCGGGTGAGATGTAATTGCCCAGGTAGCAAAACCTATCTAGTTCGATCAACCATTCCCATGTTAGGATAAGATTTGGATTAGTGCCGACCCAGTTTTGCAGCAGCAAAACGCGTCCCAAACATTGCTACACTATCGTTCAGGCTATCAAGGAAAGCTGGCAACTTACCTGGATCTTCACTCAAAAGAACAATGTGGTCCGCATATTCCAAGTCAGACAGTTTACTGTCCTAGAAAAGGTCAATGCTGCTATTCTCACACGATAATAGGGCTATCTCAAAAATCAGCTCATTTACAAAATTGAAGAAGAGGGCCGAAAGAGGGCAACCCTGACAACCACCACTCCCTATGATGAACTCGGGAGAAAGATCGCCGTGAGCACGAACTCGGTTTTGGCTGTTCTCATATAGGGATTGGAAAAGAGAAATAAATTTCACTGGCACACCCTTCAATGAGAGGTAGCACCAGAGAACTGTGTGACCGACTGAATCGAATGCCACTTTCAGATCAAGAAAGACAGAGATTATGGGCCTGCTAAAGGTGTGTCTGTGCTCTAAGATTTGTCGAAGAGTGAAGACGTGGTCGATACAACCCCTACCAGGTCTGAAACCGGCTTGATTCTCACCCGTACACATTTCGTGGCTGGGGGATGATTGGTGGAGAATAATTCCGGCGAGCAGTTTGGATGCGATACTCACCAGGCCAATTCCTGTGTGGTTTTCACAAGGGGATCTGTCATTATCTTGTAAATCGGCACAATCACCGATTCACACCATTCCTTGAGAATCTGTTTCCTGTTGCAGATCACCCGGAGAAGTATTGTTAACACCGAAATGAAAGCTTTTCCTCCATCCTAGAAAAAGATGGAGACAACCCATTCGGTTCGGCGGTTTCGTGCCTTTTCAAGTAATCTATTTGCCGTATGACCTCCATTTCTGATGGAGGAGTGATATCTACCTGCATTGATTCTCTTGCAACTTTCATGCTCAAAGAGATGCTTACACCAGCCTGACCACGAGCACTAAACACTAAATCGTCTGATACGCGAAAAGTGGAACGAGAAGCCGAGCTTGCATCTGGGGAGCAAAGTGGTAACACTGAACTTGGGTTTTGTATAGGTATTTGGGAGACAACCCACATCTATTTTAGATGTTTCAAGAGTTATATTCGGGGCAGCCTGATACCCCGTTTGGCATAGTGTGGGGACGTTGAATAGAATGCTGAAGTCTGAGAATCGTTTCTCTGTTTATCTTTATCACCAGGTTATTACCCCGACTGTACAGGATTTTCGTCCCGTAATTGAGTGACTCGCAGATAAACAAACTCCAAGTCCCAAGGCAGAGAACACAGGCTAGCTTTACTACGTACAGTAGAAGACAAATTGCCAAAATTCTAAAATAATACCTCAAATTGTGGGCAAACCGACCACAGAATCGACACAGTCAACACAAGCTTCAAGACGCCCAAGCAACAATAGACAGAAAACTTTCGAGACGACAATGCAGGAACGAGTCAAGTGGCTTACAAAGAAGGTCCTCATTTATGGGGGCACTTTGGCTAGTTAACGGACAGAAGAGAATTGATGATTCGAGGAAACCCACACACATACAAGCGCGGGTGAGGAACAAGCGGAACAACGTGGTTATGAGAAAGGGCGAGATCACAGAGAGATCGCCAAGTCCAGTCATTTACACGGATGAGGCAGATTGGGAGGGAAGGATAATTTCGTTCAAACATTTGTGCCTCTTCATGTAACCCAAGAAATTATGACATGGACCATTCCAAAACCGGAGGAAAAGGTTACGTAAGCGATAAACTTGAACAGATAAGAACAATTAGAATTATGAGAATCGGGGCGATCGATACTTGTCGTAGAAACAAGACTGAAAAGAACTGCTTGACACGATATGACTGAACACCAATTGTTACGCGAGTGGGGAAGCCAAGAGTATGATCGGCATGGAACTTAGTGGTAACAGTGCATAATACAAGATAAAATTAGGACTGAGAGTATGGGACCTGGACTAAACCAGTTTAACGAAGCCCCTCGATATTGGCGAGCTGAATTTATTTGTCCAGTTTCAATAAGTCTTTATACTTACCGAGGTTTGAAATTGCTCGGTCACCACACATTGTGACTTCTCGTATCCATTTAGAATTGGGATGTGAAGAACGAAGAACAGAGAGATGAGAAATGTTTACCGAAGGACCACTAGGGTTTTCTGGATACATTATAGTCCGCGGCAGCCTACACCGCAGAATAAGTTTTTCTTTGGGAACCCTAACCGGAGCCTTTGGCCCAAAAGTGTGCCCAGCAGAGCAGTAGGGCTTTAACCCAGCAAAGGAACGTGACCGAAGAGTTCGTTAAGGAACTTATGGTCGGTCACATGAAACCTGATTGTTGCACGCAGTCTGTCTTGTCTTCGCTGGTGCTTTATTATCGATCCGCTTTTCACATTCAGTGCTTAGTCCCATGCACCCAATGGAGCGAGCGGAACGTGGACGGAGCAGCATTTTTTTAGACCGGGGGCTGTCCAGCTTAGGCGGTTGATATCTGCCCAGTGACGTGCGGTGACTTCTCCCGCCGTCGATAGAGACCCCAGGTACTCAAATGCTACGTCCATCTAGTGGTGGTTTTTAGACCGGCGAACTACTACTCCGTGTTTATTCGCCCAAATGTCCTATCCCGGGGCACAATGAATGGAACCAAATCTTGCCCATCAACTGGACTTGGTCTGGCCTCTACCGATTGACTTGTTAGGCATGAACGCATCTCTGGCTTAAGGAAGCCATCCTGAATAGCTCGTTAGGTCATGGGGGCACACAAACGAGTATTACCTTGCGCTTAGTGAACCCGTCGGGAAATCCTCGATAAAAAGCATCAAGCACCCACCAATGTGTCCGTAAGCCCGTTTGATTCAGCGACTGTAGTCCGTCGGATCGCCTTAGGCAAACGCCTATGATTAACGTAATGATGACAAACTCTGGAGTGGGATGAGTGTGGGGTGGGCTAGGTCGTCAACGTTGGGAGTTGAATTGAAATGCTGGATTTTCATAAATAAACCAGTTTTAGTCTTACTCATACCAGTCAATCACTTTCACTTTCGGTCGTTCGCCGATTTTTCGCGCTCAGGGTTCGCTTTCTGCACAGCCGTCGCGTTCGTTTTCCATTCGGTGTATCTCTCGTATCGGTACTGTTTCGGTGCCACGATATACAGAATACACCTTGCATCTGTAAACCGACTTGCGTCTTCTTTATTCGTCCGATAGAGGGGATATCGTTGGTATTTCTCTGCCAGACCGAACAGGAGGCACGTTCACTAGCCGCTCTCGAACGTCTTCTATAACTTAAGCTCGCCAGGCTAAGATGGTTGGGATATGTGTTGCGCATGTCCCCTGACAGGATCTCACGGCGTGCTATGTTTGCTGGGGTGGTTGGAAGATGAGTAAGGGTGGTTAGTCCATGACATGGAAGAAAGTTGTGAAAAGCCTAACTAGTGGACTTGACCATGTATGACGTGTTGGACTTCCTGGGTGGGGTCTAAGGGACCCTCCCACTCAATGGTTAGATACGTTGGGGGATATGGCTAGATGCCGCGATCAGTGGCGCTCTTGTGTTCACAAACTTTCTTTATCGACTTCGTTCCATTATTATAGCTCTCCTGTTACTCCATTTCATACTCTTTTCTCCTTCAATATTTCCTTTTGAGATTGCCGCTGGGAGATAGCAACCAAATCCACCGCACCCATTGCATGGTTAATGGTTGTCTGAACAGAACTGAACAGAACAAAATAGAACAGAACAGAATAGAACAGAACAGAATAGAACAAAACAGAACAGAACAGAACAGAACAGAACAGAACAGAACAGAACAGAACAGAACAGAACAGAACAGAACAGAATACAGACTTCCCTTCAGTGGTAAAATGATCTCAGTGGAAACATGGGACGTGATGCAGAACTTAGACATCCGAACCACTTAGGCTGTTGTCAAATCTGCCTGAATCCTTACCTATAAATGTCGTGGTAAATTGCAGTGCTGATGCAAATTAAGTAATTTTATTCTTCATGCAGCGCCAACTGCCATCTCACGATTGAAACCATGGAGGCAGATGTTCCATTTGCCTTATTAGTCATCAACATTGCATATCTGTTGGATCCTAACTGGAATGAATGTTTGTGAGTCACATACACTACTGTCAGACTAGACGGGCCGGTGCCCGCCCTATTGTTCCGCGGCGCTGAGATGGTCATCGTGTCTAGTATCCAACCCATTTGTTCCAAGTTTAAACGTTGCCACCGCCAATCATTTCCCCATTCGGTAATCTCTCGTTCGCCGTGGTATCTTCCGGAAGTGTTGCACCATTTATGTGTAGTTAGTAAAAAAGAGACGAAGAACATTACTCCTGTAATTAACAATAATACTATAGGATACAGCGTCAATTTGTCATGGGTTTAAAGTATTAACTAATCATCAATCGCACAGTGATCGACTGCTGCGATGGACGTCTTCGTTTTATGGGTCTGAGTGGACTGAAGACACCAAAAACTACAGTGCGTACGTGGTATCGGTTTGAAGATGATAGGTAAAGATTTTCGATTCAGATACATGGCAAAACCAGGAGATTAATAACTGACTTACTGATCCACGCATAAGATGTGTTAGGCAACCTGAGCAGGGTCTATCAGAGTCACCTAACTGTTGTTTGGTGATAGCAGAGTACATTATTTATTATCGCATTCACTGGCATGTTTTCAGTCGCACATTTTTCTTTAACTAATTTACCATATGTACCCTTCCGTTTTTCGTTTGCTTGATACCTTCAATTGTGTAATTTCAAAGTGGATAATGCTAAAGGGTATCAACCAAAACGAACGGGCAATTTGTTTCCAGGTTATAGGTAGATCAACTCGAAGTTCGACCAAAAATATCAATTTCATTTTCTTCAATCTGTTCAATGAGATTCCGGTGAAGGGAACGAATGAATGCACATGCGTGATTGGATTACATCCAGTAACCGAAAATGAATTCACGGGAATCTCTCCCTATGCTTGTCTTGTTACGATACAGTGAGAATATTGCACAACAAAAACGATTACAAGGTGGATTGGAAAAACTCCACGAGACTGCAATTCAGATCGATCAGCTCAATGTGAAATTGGCTGTGCAGAAGGTTGTCTTGGAAGAGAAAACCACTTCCTGTGAATCCCTGATGAGTGAGATCAATGAATCAACCGAAGTGGCCACAGCGAAAAAGACCCAAGCACAAGAGAAATCGGTGGAATTGGGTAAACAGGCGAAAGTTATTGTGGCTGAAAAAGTAAGCACAATTAGTCATCTAATTTTCACCATAAACATACGGAACGTTTTGTCCTGAGTATATTTCCACTACTTTACAACTGAAACACAACCCATTTTGACTGTTTTATTTATTTCAGAAACCTGAAAATTGGGTTCGTTTTATGCAGTTAATGAGAACGTACGGGTACAGATGATGAGCAGAGTCTTTCTGCTACTGTGACATCGAGTCGACCCGCAATCCAAACGCTGTCGTCTTAACTAAGCAATTTCACTGAACTGTTAATCACAAGTTCTCGCATCTTCGACCTAATTCCACGGACTGATGCAAGATTAACATCGGGTCAGTCTGCGATGTCCAGGTGATTGGGCATAAATTACGGGGTGAGGCGGCTCTGCATAAGGGACGGAAGGGAGACATATTCAGCCGGATACAAGTATTTCGGTTACTTTTGTTGATTACTGTTGTATCCCGTAAACAGAAATAGGATGAAAGCACACGCATACGAATGAATGTGTGTTCGGGTGCGGCGTACAGTAAGCGCATGCACGAGGAAGTGATAGGCGGATGAGCGCATGCAATCAGTAGCAGTCGCTCGCCAAACTAGCCGCATATGATTGGTAGAGTTGGACAAAGCAGAGTATCGCATGCCCGGGTGCAAAGCGAACGGGATGGGAATGAATCACGTGTGGATGACAAAAACGCGAGTTGACCACACAAGAATCACATGTTGGTTTGCATGTGGTACCGCACCAGGGCTAAACCGCGGAAAATACTAGGAAATTGTTCATCATAGACGAGTAGGCAATTCGTGTGGGGTTGTGGCTGATGACAGGAGAGATAGTTTACGATAACCGTTTCTGTGCATAGAGAGGGGACTGAATTAACCAGAATAGCTTCGCTATGCACTAGTAGCTTTGCCTTCCGGTTGCGTAGTCACACTTTGAATGAGAGGGTTCATTTTTATCTCAATGGCCGTATCGTCTGCCATTCACAATCAACAAGAGTAACCGAAATGCTGGCATTTGAGATGTCTTTCTTCCGTCCCTTAAGTCCGTGGAATTAAGTCGAAGGTGCGAGGACCTGTGATCAACAGTTTAGTGAATTTGCTTAGTTAAGACGACAGCGTTTGGATTGCAGGTCGGCTCGATGTTACAGTATGGGAAAGATTCAGTTTACAATTTGTATCCGTGCGCACAAACTAGAGGCCAATAGGACAATACCAATCATCTCTCCAGTTACCTAGCGCGGGACGCGCTTCAGATTCCATTTTAGTCTGAGCAACAAGTAACCATGACCCGGTCGCAGCAGTCCTCTGGTTGGTATCTGTCGGTGATACTGGACTTTATTCGATGTTTTTAAATATTTCTTTCAATCTTCTCAGTCGCGTACGTAAAATATGCGAATTCGTGTTCGAATGGAGCACAGAGCAAAACAATGGAATGGATAGTGTCAAGCGAAATTAGGAAACCATTCGGTAAACCTGATTGGTTACCGCCACGGCAGGCACACATTGTGGGTCAAAAGTTTCTGTGCCCACAGTGGGGGCCTAAGTCTACTTATCAACACAGCCTCACAAAAAGCTAGAAGCTTTGGGTTCCGATTCCATGCAATTACTCGGAACGCTTGACCCGGATCAATCCGATGACGAAAGGTCACAAGGTGTTTCGCAATCGATGAAGCCGGGTTTCTAGTCGTTGTCTGTTGTGTGGGTGGAGGATGACTCTCCACTACACTAACCACTTCGGTACATGCTCCCCATTCTTTGACTGAGGTAACGATCCGTTCTGCCTACGTAGGTGTCACCGCAGCTGCAGGTGAACTGATAAATGACGTGAGAGGCATTCAGGTTCGCGACACTGTTTGAATGTGCTTGAAGGTTTAGTCGTTTGGTGGTTTGTGAAATCTGCAATTCAGCCGCCAAGTAGGTGCACTTTAGTGCACACTTTAGATTTTGGCTAATCCGATTGAACAGATGATCCCCTTTAAATGGCAACACTAGAGTAACTCGTTTCTTCTCGACCGTGTCGACTTGTACGGTCTTAGGCCTTTCTCTTTTGTGGCTCTCAATGAACTTATCAGGGTATCCATTGGCACAATGAGTTTGGGATAAGAACTCTTCTTCCTTTTTTCAGTTGGTCTACACTGCAGATTTTACGCGTTCTGTGGAACAGGGTTTTGTAGGCAACTGGAGCGAAACTGGAGAACTGAATATATTGTCCACTCAATGTTGCTTTACGATGGATAGTCTTCTGAATTATCCCATTTGCAGGTTTTTATATCATGATATCCAAAAAAGCGAGGCTGCTACCACTCTCTGTTTCACATGTGACTGATAGGTTGGGATGTATGGTATTCATTAGGTTGAAGAACTTAGTAAACCGTTCTTCCTTAGTAAAAATCAAAATATCATCGACATAACCCTTGTACAGGGTAAACTGGATGATATTCTGATGTACATTTTTCTCAATCATTCCCAAAAAGATATCTGCCAATGTGCGTCCAAGAGGGCTACTAATTGCCACACCATCAATCTGTCTGTACGACTGTCCTTCAAAATCAAAACGTATATTTTCTGTACATAAGAGAATGAGGTCCCGGATGTATGTAACAGCAATCGGTAACGTGGGTTTGAGTGTTGATAATATGTCGCACAAATACTCTACCGTTTCTCTTAGGGGCACACTGGTGAAAAGTAAATCAACATCAACGGAAAACATTTTTTGGGAACTCACGGATATTCGCTCCAGGATATCTGATAGTTCAAATGAGTCCTTCAGACAGTGTGATGTCATGTGCTTTCGGATGGGAGATAGAATATCCACCAGCCAGCGTGCCAGTTTGTGGCACGCTGAGTTCTGCATACACAAAACAGGTCTCAATGGAACATCAAGCTTGTGAATTTTCGGAGAACCCCTCAGTTTTGGCGTTTGGGTGCCTATCGGTTTCAGTTTTCTGTATAGGTCCTCAGAGATAAATCCATGCTAGCGTAATATCTGGAGATGTCGTGTGACCTGTTTCTCTACGAGCAAGTTGTTCTCTGGGGTCGAATCCGGAATAAGTCGTCGTTTGTCCCCCAAAGTGCTATCCATCTTTTTAATGTAGTCTTGTCTCTTCATGATGACGACACCTGATCCCTTGTCTGACTGAAGAGATACTACATCTTTCATTTCTTTCAATTGTCCATTTGCAGTGTAGTGTTCTTGTGATAGACAGCATTTTTGTCTCGCATGTTTTACGTTCGCGATTGAGAAGATTAAAAGAAATGCTTGCATCTCGCAATGTATGTCTTCTATCTGTTTTGATGAACTAGATCAAGAGGACCCAATGTTTTAGATTTTAAATATGCTAGTTTTTTGATTTTTTCCGTCTTTAAATAGTCCTTGTAAAAGTTTAGGCTGACGACAGCAGCGGGGGCCGATATTTCTCATAGGATGCGTGAGTGTCGACAACGAGCGTTGCGCTAAGGACACAAATAAATTACTTAGCGAAGCCACTACAAACAAATTCCCCCATTTTAAAGCTGCATCGCATTTTTGGTAAATATATATATAGCTGACTGTCCTTCGGACTCCATCTTCCACGCTCAAGCCTCAGGTCAATGGACGATCCTACACTCGGAAGCACCAGACTCGAGCTTCGTTCTTGTTAGAGCTCATCAGCGGTGCATATCCTCTGCCACACCCAGGGTTTGAACCTAGGCCCTTTCACCTTGAAGGCGTGTGTGTTACCACTGCGCCACCCCGCTCCCGTTCGGGCTGAGGCGAATCGCCAAGGTAAGCTTGTTCAGATGTCGACCTCTAGCGCAGCCAGAGATTCCCGACAGCTTCGAATGGAGACACGGTATTAGCCCCGTTAACTACAAGCGAATGCCTCCCATGAAGTCAGGTATTCTCCACCAAAAACGCGATGCAGGTTTAAAATGGGGGGATGTGCACCCCATCCTGTGGAGAAGACTTGACTTAGTGGGAGGCATTCGCTTGGAGTTAACGGGGCTGGTACCGTGTCTCCATTCGAAGTTGTCGGTCATCTCTGGCTGTCCTAGAGGTCGAAGGACAGTCAGCTAAACAAACATTCATCAGTCCCACACACTACTCGCAAGTGATTGCGTGACATATTCTACAATCAGGGCCTGACGTGGGAGTTATGCACCACGGTTTTCTTCCTTGTTCCGGGTCCTAATAAAAAAATAAACTATGGGGATGCGGAACTTTGTTTGATTTTAAATAATCTGATGCACTTTGTTTTATGCCTTATTCACATGGTTGGTGTTTGTCTGGGGCACAAGTCAAACGTTGGCCTCATTGGTCTAGATCAGATCATTTTTGTCTATCACTAGCAATGTGTAGTTCCAAATTAGTCATTTGTTACCAAAGACGACAAAATGAGCCTACAGGAGATTTCCATGAGAACATGGTGTAGAACTTCATGGCTTCCGAAGTCTAACAGAAGTGTACTTCAGTAACGCACTTGGCATAATTTCTCCTCAGATAGTATCCACGACGGTATTTAGGAAAATTATTGCACGGAAAACCGATTACCTAATTTTATGTACCGTTTTTCACCACGGCAATTTTCCGTTATTTAAACAGTTCGAATACTGCTGATTCTTCCCTGCTGCGTGATTATTTCTTCATTATTGTCTTTGAGTATCTACAAATAGTTTACTTTGGTATGTTGAAATCCCTCAGGCGGTGCATAATTCTCACGGCCATCAGAAAGCCAAGAGAGTACTGTGGTTCTCCGTATACGAAGAGTAGCATCACGTAGATTAGGAAACCGCGAATGCTGGAATATCACTGGCCAAGACGACTAGTCATACCACACAGTGCCTCTGACAATTTGGTGGATGGATTTCTTGAAGGATCTCTAAATCTACCGAGGGGGATTAATACACAATACGGTCAGGTTTTCATGCCTTCCAGTGTACGCGTATTAATCGAATTGTGTCGAATATCCGTTTCACTACCTTCGCTAAATATCTGAGGTAAACATCTACCACGTCGCTATAAGAAATTTATGGCACGTACTACGTAAGAGCTGACAAAACTGGTGCTTGAAGTGGTTTCTCAGCCTCTGACAGATACTTGTTGGACTCCTTTTACGAAGGTCTCAGATTGTTTTGCCAGACTGCGTCAACACGGCTATTGAGAAATCCCACAATTGAGCAAGGTGCAGCAGCAAAATTTGTAATCCCGACGTGGGGCTCGACTGAGCTAGCTGAGCGCGAGGTGGTGGTGGGTAATATATATTTGTAAATAGTCCCAGTGTGGTAATGTTATCAGCTCTACTCAAGCGTTTACAATCGATTGCAAACCGGTATTGATAAAGGTGACCCACAGCAACCGAACCGCCAACTGACTAACATCATTTCCTACAACTCTGTGTTACCAAAGATTAAAGGCTTATGTATAGCATTTTACATGGCACACCTTTTTCCGACACCATCCAAACTGATTGCGGCTCCGTGAGAATTTATCAACGGGGGATACAAAAGCAATGTTAACTGACCTTGATTGATTTACATCGCTTTTTCGACCTTGGTATCACCAGATTGTTCAAATAGCTTATATTCTTTTTCTAATATGGTATCACCAGAGACTGTCGCACAAGAAACGTGCTTTCAGCACAAAAGGTCACTTCCAGAGCGTGCTAGATCCATTTTATCTGTGAGAGACACTATTTAGCAGACCCTTGTGTATGCGCACACAAATTCAATCAACCAGACCCATATGAAACAGGTGTCCTGTCATGTCTCGTGATCGAGCACGTACTGGAGTACGTTCGCAGTTAAACGCACTCCTCCGTAGAAAAAACCAGTCCATTTCCCAGCTTACGAGCACACTGAGTGAAGTATGTCCCCACTTTGACATATGCTAATGATTCTGGGATTTGAAACTGAAACTAATGGATTGAGGCTTCTTTTATCTACACAATGCGATGTATGGCCAATTGTTTGTTTCAGGGTGAGGCCGAAGCCGCGCTGGCCGAAGCACTTCCTGCAGTCGAAGCAGCTCGGCATGCTTTGGACGATTTGGAGAAAAATGATGTGACAGAAATTCGAGCATTTGCTACTCCACCAAAGCCGGTAAGTCACAAATGACCATGAGTATTTTCTATCAATTGTATCCATATTGCGGTTGTGGGGAATAGCCAGTTGCTTTCGGATACCTGTGGAAATTAAGTACACAGATCAGATTTGCTGTCGGGAAAAGTCGCGGTCTTGCGGGTTCACAAGTCCGCTTCCCGCTTTGCCTTCCCAGTTAATGTGGTCACGCCAGCCAGTTCAAGCAGAACTGCATCGAGACAATAAGTTACTTACATAGTCGAGACGGGTTTTATTGTCGCAAAACACAGAGTATACGAAAGTACAATAATTAGGATTTGCACTTGGACTTGGACTACTCACAATGAACGTAACAATGCTCCTGCCCAAACTATGTGTAACTGAGGATCAAGAACGCCGACTAAACGAGCACGCAATCGAAATTATAATTTGCGCAATCGTAATATACATCCAGATGCAATGAAACAACATGAAGCGCTGTTATTAACAATCGCCACATCCGCCACAGCTTGAATGGAATTCTGGAATTTTGTAATCACGGGGTTCTTTGTTCTGTAAACGGTCCGATCTTCGGATTGTTTCTGTTGGACAGGAATTTCCACTGGGGTCATTTTCATCTGGGAGAGAGTCAGAAAAATCGGGATTAGAATCAATTGGATTATAATCAGAAACAGGATCATAGGCAATTTGGTCATAATGTCTTCGATGAATGAAACCATCAGTAAGATCTAAAATCTGGCAAAGTCTGTTCCCTAGTTATTTAAGTACAATACCTGATTACGGTCCCAAATCATTACCTCTGTGGCAACCAACTTCCGAGGACTCGATCCGGAGCAAATTGGTGCTTAGTCTGTGGCTCTTGAGCAATCTCGCCAGACTATTACCCGTAGTTGAATGGACAGAACCGCGATAAGGTATTAGGAAGTTGTCCACGCTTCTCTCGAACTCACTGAATGATCCTAGATTTGTGTTTTGGTGGCACTCTTTGATGTTCGCCCAAAATTTTCACGAATACCATCCGACTGCGGATGACAGAAGGAGCTAACAGATGATGGCAAATCATGAATTTCAACCAATCTGCCATCTTTTGGGCAGTGAAATTACTTCCGTTATCACTGACCAACCCATATGATCGGATTAGAGCACGGGACTGGCTGCCAAAACCAATGAGTCCAGTTTTTGCACCTGTTAGTTTCTGGGTTTCGCCGTGCTTCGACTTCCCGAGATCCACTGTCCTTCAGTAGCTGGGAAGAATGACACATATCGGGATCACCGTCCGAGAGACTAGCAAAGAGTAACATTTCAATAGGGTAAGGTCTCACCAACCAGCGAGATCACTCTTCATGCAAAAGTCAAGACCTCCAGCTATCAGCTCTCGTGAAGTAGTAAGAAATCTAGGGGGGTCAAGTATTTAGGGTAGGTATTTAGTTAGACTGAAAAAGATTGAAGGAAAAGTAGAACACTGAAACAGACTGAAGAACTACAACTATACTCGTTTTGCCGACTCGCGGACAATCCAGAAAGGCATATGCTCAAGCTACGTCCAGCTGTCTCTTGGGCATTGCCACAGAGTTCGCTCCCATCACTTCCTCAGGAAGTTTATTCCAGTGGTTAATTACCCTGCAAGCAAACGACTGGGCTCTGGTGCTCTTGTTGGCTTTCGGCCTGATTAGTCTCAGTTAGTGTCCGCGGCGGGGGGGGGGGGGGGGGGGGAGGGGCAGAGTTTCCATCGCGGGCAAACAACAGTCTTTTTGTAGCTGACAACCCATTTACCTGTCCCGTTTTCTTTCAGTCATTTTCCCCGCACCCTCCTGCGCCTGAACGAGAACAACCCTAGCGCTTCTAATCCACCTTCATGCGGAAACCCTCGTAGCCCTAATATCGTTTTCGTGAACCTTCTCTGGACCTTTTCCAGAGAGAGAGTGTCCCTCACTAACTGCGGAGCCCTTGTTTGGACTGCATACCCTAAGTGGGATCGGACCAAGGTAGTATAAAGTGGCAGCAGCACCCTGGGGTCTCTTGATGTGAGAGTTCTGCCTTGTTAGCCGCCTGCAGGCATTGTGTCGAGGGTTTAAAGTCTCTTGAAACGAGCATGCCCAGGTCCCTGATCTCGCATTTGCTGTGCCAATGGTTCTGGGTTGTCTGAGTTTAAATACCACTGAATTCCTCAGCTGTCAGACGTGACCATTTTGGCAGGTTCAGAGACAAGTCTTATACTACAGACCGCTGGTGGAGAGCATCTATGTCCACCTGAACCTGGTAAGATTCTGGGCATCCCAGAACCTTTACATCATCCGCGAACATGAAGCAAGGCGGTCTTATTACCCTCTGTAAGTTTTTCACATAAATCAGGAACAGTACGAGACCCAATGCTGATCCCTGAGGGACTTCACTGGTTGCTTTCCCTGTCGAGGACTTGGTATCCTCAACTTTGGCATATAATCGGCGGTCAGGTATGTAAGCTTTAAGCGATCCCATTAGCCCTGCAACTAAGCTTTTTCCCCCTTGCTTATTTAGAAACTCACGCTGCTGTTTATTGGCGATTGAGTTGTTATCCTCCAGGTGTCTTACCAAAGCTTTCCGGATAATTTTCTTCATTACCGTTAACACGTGATGGCACCCCATGAACTTCAGCCAATCTGTCCCCTTCTGGGCAGTGAAATGAATCCTGTTATCAATAACCAGTGCATGTGGTACTCCTCTATGGCTAAAAGTCTTGTAAAGCGCAGTACTAGTGAAACCAGAATTTGGGGAAGTAGTGAGATAAATCTCTGGCCACCTGAAATAGGAATCGACGATAGCGAAGGCGTAGTACTTATACAGGAATAGTCCGCAGTAATCAGCATGGACACGCAACCAAGACTCATGGGATATGAGCCACGGCGTCCACCTGGAATGAATTTTGTGTACACGGTCACTGTGACGTTTAGCAAACTGGCATAAATCATTGTTCAATTCAGGTCACCAACAAGTAAGTCGGGCCAAGGATTTCATCTTCTCGATACTGAGATGTCCGGAATGTAAATCAGTCAGAACAGTTGACCGCAATGTAAGAGGCATAATATTGTGGTGATTAAAAAACAAAGCACCATCATAAGCCATAGGAATATCTTCGCGACGCTTGTAAAACTTCGGAAATCGACGTTCGATATCCGCTTTCCAACCATGTCAAACACAGGACAAAATAGCATGGTAATACCTTCGAGTTCCACGAATCAGATCGGATCAATTTAGAGGAAGTGGTTGGGTTAACAAACAATAAGAAGAGATTTCCTCAGAAGCGGCCTTACGAGATAAATAGTCTGCATGAGGCATGGTTTCTGCTTTACGATATTGAAAATCATGAGAATGTGCACTAAAAGCAACATTCCACCGATGAACCATGACTGCTGATGATTTCGCTAACGAAGTGTGCGGATCGTAAATGAGCTTCAGTGGTTCATGATCTATCAGTCGTATGAAGTGTGACCCAAACAAGTATTTGCGTAATCCGGTGACTATCCAAAACACCGCTAGAACCTCATGCTGTGTCTGTGAATATCCGTGTTCTGCAGGACTAAGGCGACGCGAAATACACAGCACTGCATGACCATCCTGGTCGAGTACGGCTCCGATGCCAGTGGGAGAAGCATTCGTGATGACAGGAGATGGTAACTAGGGTGAAAATGATTGAACTCTTGCTGAGAGCAGTTATCTCACTCATATATACCTCCTGTGGAACCATCTTGATTACATAGGCACGAGCGACTCGTAGTTCCGATATCATTATTGACCTGCTTCAGGATAGTCCAACCTGTGAGCGACCGCCCTTTTTAACGAGCATACCCTAAAACGGTTGGGCCAAAACACAGCTCGTAACAAACTAGGTCCTGGGCATCACGAGGTTAAGTACGCTCATTTTGCCGATCTCTTCAACGCGATGTTGAGAGGCTTGACAAGTTGGGTAGGTTTTGGGGACCATGAGGCCTCTGGCATTTTCAATAATCGTGGTCCACTGATCCACGAATCTCTGTCAGTGGTGTTATTCGTACCGCGGGATGCCACATCATTTGGGTTCATGTTCAACTCCACGTGCCTCTACTGACTCAGCTTTGTCGATTCATAAATAAAAGAAAGACAGTTCGCAGCAAAGTTTCAAAAACCCCGTCGACACGTTGTGAAAGTGGTAAGGTACTATCATAGAATTCGTTCACGTAGAACAATTCTCAAAGGGCACTTCTGGGTTGGATTTCAGAAAATCCAGATTTCTTGCCGCTAACACCCTAGCGGTCAACTCTAAACATGGTGTTGTAACGGATTTTAGTGGAGCCACCAAGGCCTTTCCGGAAAACAGCAAGCAATTTCTGAATCCCGAACTGGTGAGGACAAAAGCGTAGGTGGTCACTTCATATGTAGTTTCTGAGGTGTCGCAGGAAATTCGGAGTTCGGTTTCTTTCAGTAAACCTATTCTAAGTTTCTCAGAGTTATCGACCAGGCCTTCTAGAGCCGGAGTCCGTCTTCATTTACTTGTTTACCCCAGCCTCGTCGATTTCTACATGACGACTGAAGAAGACACTTTCCTGGTGCTGGCCAAGATGCCACGAATCCCAGAGGGTTAGATGAAGAAGAAATGTAGGGTAACAAAGCCCTCCTCGCATACGATCTGTCCTTTAAATTCAAGCTTATGCGAAAATTGTCTTTTATAGCGTTCCATTTGATCCCAAGAGCTCGTTGCGCCGGGAGTGGATTGGGATCAGGACTAAGCATCGAACAGGCTCGCTCCCAACTTGGAATAATCTATAAAACCTCTCGACTATTTGACAGCCATTTTCTTATTCAGAACCCGGTCTCTGAAGGCACTTCAGAAGTCTCCTTTACAAAGATGATGGCATCCGACTCGTTATCCAGAACCTTTAAACAATCGTCGACGTATAACTTTTTTGATGGAGACTCCTGTGTTCAGTGTCGGAAGGTCGATCCATATAGTTCCCCTATTCGTCTTAGGGCGAAGCTTGCACAAAAAGGTGGTAAAGTCGCTCTGAATGGATGGCATGCCATTCGAAATTCAACCGGGTCGCAGTTCATGTTATGATATTTGGACCACAAGAAACGAAAGGCTCCTGAATCTTGCTCGGGCATGCGTCTCGTAGTCTTTTCGTATTCTTTATTGTGTAAAAAATATGAAGATTGTCCTTTCATATTTGTGGACTAAGGCAGTTTGACACAACACAAGTTAATAGTTTTTCCGTTGTCACTCAGTCTATTCTCCCATTCTGACTCGACTGCTCTCCCGTAATCATTCCTGGCTTACCTAAGAAAGATTTTATCACATCACACCGCTGCTTGGACGTTATCAGTCATTTCTTTGATACCCGCAGACTCTCTTATCTCCATAGTTTGAACATGAACATTCTTGCAGACCCCTCCAACCCCTGTACCATGACTTATTTGCATGCGGTTCGTGTCCCTCTACACGTCCCATATTTAGACTCACGCACTCACTCACTCACTCACCCACTCACTCACCCACTCACTCACTCACCCACTCACTCACCCACTCACCCACTCACTCATTCACTCACTCACCCACCCACTCACTCACTCACTCACTCACTCCACTCAATCCGCTCACTTCTCCTCTCTCTCTCTCTCTCTCTCTCTCTCTCTCTCCCTCTCTTTCGTATAGTTATCTTTCGCAACTCTACAGCGGCTTTTTTAGCACGTATTCTGGTTAAAAAGATGAAAGTCACACAGGAACTTCGCATGAACCATCTTTTACCATAGTAATTATTTTTTATGTTCATTTCAATGTGAAGCTGGGGGTCAATGTGCACAATGATGCCAATTTATCATATAATGCCTGGTGGGAAATTTTACTGGATGAGTCGAAACACTGTTTGAGTGGAAGCGACGCTTCAAATTTATCATCAACTTTGGCATTCTATGTAGGCTACTCGTAAGTGGTCAAACTTAAATATTACAATTACTCACCGAAGTAAACACGGTTGAAATAAATCATCCTGTTGGCATTGAAACTGCAATGGCAATTGCGCACGCAGATTTGGATCTAATGCAATAATACATCATTGAAGTAGAGCATCCAAGTGTATATATTGTGTAGGTGGCTTTTGATGTTTGGTTTCACTCGAAAACACGCATCTATCCAATGGTTCGCCAAACCGAACACATTACTGTTTGAATTAGAAACAAGACGCTCTCTAACGTCTTGTTCCTAATGTGACCACGACTATGGGACTATTCAGGCTAGTTGGATTAGCTTGCGGTATTTCTCGCTGCGCCTTTCCAAGTCTAAATTTTCGTCACCTGCGCGTATAACTCAGAGGAACTGAAAAGAGTATGTATAGAACGACCGAGATCCGAGATGCGATTATCATACGGAATCCCCACGATCCCACTGATCCATCATGTGAAGTGGCCAATATATCAATGCTACTTACAAACCAACTGATTTGAGTATATAGAGCTGAGGTAAAATTTGATACTCAAGGGTTGATGGGGCTTGAAGAGTTTTCCCGTCCCGGATGCGATAGAGAATGGTGCCAGTCTTCAAGAATTGGGGTCACGAGACAAACACAACCTATCCGAAACGTTTGTGAAGTTCTGCCCAGTACAGAAACAATTATAACTATTTCGGAATGTTTGTACACCCATTTACATCTGGTTTTTCTCCGTGAAAAACTGTAAGTTCTATGGTGGCAGTTAAAATTAATCATACCTAAGCCACTCAGTACTTTTCACTTGGTCTTCTCTGTCAGGTGCAAATGGTCGGTGAAGCACTGTGTCATGTGCTTCAGTCCAGCGAGATCAGTTGGAAAGCTGCACGTGGCCTGATGGCAGATGCGAACTTTATCAGTATGCTTCAACAGTTAGATGTGGAACAAATCCCGGTGAAAAATATACAGAATTTAAAAGGTATTTGTCTTTTAAAAGAATGTCAATGCGATTCACTTCAGAGTCGTCGCTTGTTTTGTATTGCAGTTCGTACCTGTATGTTATGCCATGTCCGGGTTCTCTGCGGATCTCCTAATTTTTCTCGTAAGAACACTCTGGAATTTGCTCAGTATAAACAGTATCCCCCATGATTTTACTTTCATGTATTAAGAATTACGGTGTGACATATTGGTTTCAGTTGGTCTGACAATACAAGTCCTATCCTATATCTTCCATATCCTGCCTCTTTACAAACCGATTTCAGTTTACAAGTCCAGATGAAATGGATTGTAACCGTTGTTATTTCATGCGCACTAATTTTGTTTGTGCATCAGGAGTGGGAGCGGATGCTCCTTGTAAAGGATTCCGTCAATCCACTAGTTCTTTGTGGATAAGTCGCAACTTACCTCCAGGCTCCAATACATACGACGCAGTTCGATTATCTCTCCGTGATAGGTTTCCCTTAAACACGCACAGGATTTTACACTGCATGGCGACCAATTATCGGCATTATTATAGTGAAACACAGTGTTTCTTGTTAAAATTAAACTACTCTGTTATCATTTTTCATCTACCTTTTCTTCACACGATTTGATATAACTGCTATTAGGAGTATAGGATTTATTATTATTAGACTGTGCTCTCTGTGAAACGGCCGCAGTGTCAGTGAATAGTCGTTCTGCACATCCACTTCTATTTACACGTTCATCCGTTGCAGTGTGATGGAAGCCAGAAATTAGTGAGACGGTATCCATGATGGTGTTACTTTATATATCAGGAGCCGGTTGTTACTTTGTGGCCTAATTGACCTGATCTACTAAAACAATATCAGCAGCACCGTCCCTCTGCTGAAGGAATTTTACAAGACCTAAGTAAAAACGAAACGAAACACAACCGATTAAGGACACTTTTTGGGAATATCATCGTCATGATTTTCCACCTAATTATTGTGTTTGCACACTGCAGACCTGATTGCTAAGCGAAAGGTCACCTACGAGGATGTTCGATCGGCTAGCAAAGCCGGTGGTGGATTCTACAAATTCATCCTTGCGGTGATCACATTTCATGATGTGGCGCGTGAGGTAAGACCGAAACGAGAACGCGTCAAAGCATTGGAACGCGAGTATAACAAGGCCAAACGTGATCTGCAAAAGTTGAACGATGAAGTGGCCAGTCTGGAAGGCATGCTTGTCTCACTGCGACGCCAGTTCGCTTCAGCTCAAATGGAAATGGAAAATTTGAAGAAAGAAATGGATGTGATGCGTCGTCAGCTTATGGCTGCGGAAAAACTAACGGAAGGCTTGGGCTCCGAAAAGGAACGGTGAGTACATGTTTTTGAACGAGCCAAATTCAGTACATCAGTTCCTATTGCAAATTCAAAGTGTTACTAACCACTGAAAAACCAGTTGTTTCGTCTAACTTGTTGCAATTCAGTGACATTGTCTGTTCATAGAATCTGAAGATGGCGTTTCCGTTATCATGCGTAACCTTACCTAACATCGGTTTACGATCGTTTTGCGACATACTCCAAACTTTGAGGCAGTCCTGCCTGCTTGAAATGCAGTTGCCTGGTGTTATCGTTTGTACTAGTCCCATCTTTTACTGATGCTCGAATCACGGTCCAAGCTGGAGAAAAACATCAGCCATTTTCCTGTTAATTTATTTCACTCTTTAAGGTGGATTCAAGAAGTAGCCTCTTTGGGCCGAGAACAAAAATGCATTCTGGGAAACAGTCTGATTGCATCCGCATTTCTGTGTTATCTCGGACCATTTACCACGGAGTTTCGTGACCGTCTGCTCGTGAGAGACTGGCTCACCTCGGTCTTACAGGATGGGGTAAGTTAATGATTTTTATGTACTTTTCTTCTGTTACGAAGATATTGTACTTAGAAAATAATGACGTATTCATACTCTTTTCGCATTAGTCTATCACTTATCCGGGAGACAGTAGTAGGACGTCTCCTATTCAAATATCAAGCAATAGCTTTGTGTACTGGTGTTATTTATGGCTCACTAATGATTGATCCTAATGCTGAAATAGAAGATCGGGAGCCCCTGCGAAGACGAAGTTTATATTTTAAAACTAATAACCAAGGATGAAGTTTATTAGTACTTTTATACTGATATACAGTAAAAGGTTGTGTTTTTCTCGTAATATTTCCGATTTTAAACTCCAGCGTAGTTCAGCTCACTTCAATTCAGTATTTTCAACCATTAATTTCATTCTTTAGCTGACGGGGCAGCCTTATGGACGACTCAGTGATTCAGAAACGGCTTCAATATCAGAGAATATACTACTTTTGGGATTCAAGGCCAATGACTTGAGCATAAAATGTTTATCATAATATTGCAATAATATGAAATTGAAACTGCGTCAGTGCACCAGGATCATAGGAAAGACTAACGAAAGGGCAATGACAACATGCTACTCATGAGTAGGTCGCGGAAGGGTGAGAATAAACGCGAGTTACAAAATGCTATTTACGGTGACAGTAAACACCCGCAAAACCTTGTGAACCTACGACCAGAGGTCGATGAAAATTCTTGCAAATTCTCATCATTTTCAGTCCCAAACAATAAAAATATAATGTTAATATCAGGCGTTTTCGATGGAAATGACTGTAAAAGTACTGTATGAAGTTGCTATTTCTTTGAAATGAAACGGAAGCAATTCAAGCCAATTGAATAATGCTGTTGTGCGTGGAAATCAAATATCGAACACCCTTTTTACACGAATAGATTGATCCGTCACTAACTTTTTCACTGATTTTTTCTCCCCTCTTTTTTGCACGATAAAAACACCACCACCACCAACATCGCACAAACAGATCCCCTTGACCGATGATTTTCGCGTCACGCAAATGCTGGGCTCTGATGTGGAAGTGGCATTGTGGAATTCGCAAGGTTTGCCGTCTGATGAATTGAGTATTCAAAACGCTATCTTGACCACGAAAGGACCAACGTGCCCGGTATGTATTGATCCTCAAGGACAAGCATCACGTTGGATAAAAGAAATGGAAAGGAATACCAAAGACGAGTCTCGTTCGATTCGGGTAAGTGAGAGCAGAGTGGCCCCCACATCTTTATTTGGTCTCGCCATTCAGGTGTATGCCTCTCACGCAGCATGCTCGAGGTCAGTTGTCAAGGCAAAGTAGATTCTATGCCTAAGCACGTGTATAAGGGTAAGTATAGGTCGCAAAATTGCTACCGCTGACCGACGACGGTTTGCTTCAGCTCCAGCTCCCTACCCAGATTTGCCAGCTGCGGATGAAACGTACTTAACGGCTACCGGTCGTATCGCCACCGACACCCGCCGTTCGCCGATCGATTGGTCATTGTAATAAGAAAGCACATACATGAGAGCTTCGGTTGAAATGTAAGCGCATTGGTTTACGGTAGCCTTGGCATTACAGTTGAACGTAAAACAGTACCGCACATCTTGGTGCGAACGTATACTCTGTCCGATTTGGTGTGAACCATGCGTCAAGTAACTTGCGGCTTCGTTTGTTCTCTCAGGAAAACTAATAAGCTCAGTAGAACAAAGCGCGGAATGTGATGTATTGAAATCACGTAAATACACCCTTCAACACATCGCACCGAAAACCCTTACAAGTAAGCAATCGGCAGCACACTGAGAAAATGGGCAAAAATCCAGCTAGTCGATCAGCTTTGTGACCGAACTAAGGAATCAAAGTGAGCGTCCCCGACGAGTTTTTCTCGGTATCATTGGTAATTCCCCGTGCACATGATAGTTGAGTACATTATCACATTGTGATCCGCTGTCACATGATGGGCTAACCGACGAATCATGATCCCCCGCAGCCTTTGTGAACCAGGCTCGGGGGGAGGTCAAACTATCCCCTTTCCGTGTGGACAAGTAAAAGCCATTAATACAATGTAACCGGTTTAGAAAATGAGAATGAATTGAATCAATCGATGCAAAAAATGCAACTAAATTATTATAGGAATATTTGGAATCAGTTAGCACGTCATAAGAATTTTGACGGATGCTACTGAAATTCGACCCCTGGAATTTTTATCCAATATATAAATTCATTCGGTTTGTTGACTTTGCTATGTAACTAAACGGTGTAGAAGAATTCATTATTTCCGAAGATGTCACGAGTAAAATCCAAATGATTTTTTCAACCTCAATGTGGCTTTCTCAACTTTCGACAGATTACCACACAAAACGACCCAAATTTTCTGCGTACTCTGGAAACTGCAATCAAGCTTGGATTACCATGCATGATTGAAGGAGTGGAAGAGACACTGGATCCGGCACTGAACAATATTATTGCGCGAAATATCCGAAGTAAATTCACACGTCCGTTTAATTTATGAAAAACAGATACTGATTTTTAAATCAACGTCAAGTTAGCTATCTTGGACTGACAGTGCAGTGGTGATTCAGTCTGTTATGAACCGCTTGGTACGAATGGTACACACTGTACCATTCGATAAATTCTGTCCCACCCCTCGAGGTTTCGAGTTTCCATTTTGGGCATTAGTAATTATAATTGTAGTAATCATTGGTGTTAAACACTGCAGATCCAAGCCACATTTGGAGGCAACACGGACATTTCGTTCTACACACTTTTCACTTCAGGCCGTCAGAAATGCTTCTGAACGGTGTTATTTGTTTCTCCGAAATATGCGTTTGTCCATATGCACGAGGTTCTACACCGTTTTTTGTTGTTGATTGCACGGCGGAACCAGGAGTACAGCTTTCCCTCTCGTTTAGTAGCAACTGATGGCCACTCAATGGTGACTACAATCGTCTAGTAGCCACTGACGATTACTTGTTGACCGTGGTCTAGGGTACGGTAGCCAACGTTTCCCGTAGCTCGCAGAAGACTACCAAGCACCGTAACTGGACCCAGAAATTCACAAGTGATGTGATCTTGTGCGGTGTGGGTGTTATACTGCTCCAGGGAACAACAAATTCCTGTTAGAAGATTATCTTAGAAGTAAATTTCAGCTACTCCTCATAACTTTTGAAATGACGAAAATTTTGAGAGTCGTTGACCCCGGCGGGATACGAACCCACTCCTGGTTGCCACTTACGATTTAGAACTGTGTTGAGCTACGACGACAAGCGGAAAGTCTTCTAACTTTTCGCATATGGATCACAGTTTGCCCGCCTGAATTACGGTAGCATATGGCATCCGCCACAGCGGACTAGCTTGTAAACTGACTGCCTGCATTAGGAGTCAATGACTTTTAACATTTGGATCATCTCAAGAATCCGTCAAATCTGCCAAACCCCGATACTCATTCCACATAACTTTAAACTTGCGGATGGGAGGTGAAAATGAACAGGGTCATGTGGTGCGTCTGAAGAAAGATGCTGAGGACGAGATGTCGGTTTGTAAGGGTTACAAGAATGGTCTCTGTAGATGTGACTAATGACGGGATGCAATTAAGAAACAAGTCAATTATAAGATCTTTTAAGTCCAGAGTTGTGATTTGATTGATGTCTTCAGACATTGGCTGGGCCCGACAAAGTCCATTTTTAGAGTCAGCCACAGAACTAGCTCCCAAAACCCAACACTTTCGTTTTATGTTTGAACAGAGGAAAAGGGACGCGAGGTGGTCATGATGGGTGATCGAGAAGTGGAATACGATCACGGTTTCCGACTTTACATTGTCACAAAATTGGCCAATCCTCACTTCTCAGCAACTTTGTATAGTCGAGCTTTGGTGATCAACTATACAGTCACTCTGACTGGCCTGGAAGGCCAGCTGCTGAGCGCTCTAGTCAAACATGAACATCACGAACTGGAGGAACGACGTGAGGCTTTGATTTTAGAAACAAGGTGAGTTCGCTTTTCGCTTGCCTACGTATTTTTCAGGAATATGGATGTGGCTACCGTGCATCAGATAGATGCGATCCCACGGGGTGGTTTGCACGTTTTTGTTGCTAGCTGCTAACAGTTAAGCCAGTCACTATATTGCCGTGGTTTTCAGCAGGCTACCTGTAGATTCCCCCCATGAAGATTGACGGAACCGATCGAGTGACGCTTAAAATCCTGAAATCGTTTGCAACAGTAAACGAGATTGTCTGAGAATACGGATAAATTCACGATAAGATGACAAAACGTACATACCTCGAATGGTGTGTCCAGGTGTAATCGTGCGCTGAAGTCTTTCAAATATTATATCCTCAGAAAGTAGCAGTTTGCCAAATGTTTCCGGAACTTTTAAAAACCTAGTTTGAAACCTGCTTCCTATTGTGCCCCATCCTTGAGAAGTAGCATCCTCAAAAAGCCGCAGTTTATGAAATATTGCCATCGTCAGCCAAACCAGCCCCATTGAATCACTACAGGAATGGGTCGTTACAAAGTAGCACCCGATTGGATAAAACAGTTGTCAAACGTGATTGGTTAAGATAAGTATTCTATTGAACCAGCCGAATAAATGGTAGTTCATGTTTTGGTCTACCAGGGATGATCCATGGCACTGCCCAGCCTGTCGACCGGTCCACAAAAAGAGAAAATGTTCTAAGCTTATTCACCGGGAAGTTAGTGTAAGTTCTCAGTATGAGGTAATGAACAAAAAGCTATCAAAAATGAGAAGGCGAAGATTCTAGAAATGATTCCCAAACCAAAGGCAATATGAACTTCTACGACGAAATGTCTTGGCGTTTCACGGAAAACCGTGCAGAATGTGATTGCTAGCAAAACTATGATTCGAGATAGTGCCTGTGCACACAACGGTCTACAAATGTTTTGTATCCGTTGGTGATTGCTGAGCTTGGCGTTTAGGTCGCAAACTCAGCGATCACCAACGGATGCAAACCACCAACCTGAGCTACAAACAACACCAATATTCAAAATCACCGGTCTACAAATGTGCCATTGGATAACGGAACAAAAAATGATGAGGTAAATGATACCGCCTTCTAGCGATTTTTGTGGTTGAGAGAAAAACATGATGAAATTCCCATATTGGGACGTGCGTTGCGTAACAAGGCCATGCACTTTACTTCCACTTTTGGAAAATGTTAGGGTTATGGATCGCCCAAAAAGTGAGCAAGAACAACGACCGTCGGCACTTTAGACTCGTGGATGTTGGAATGACTAGGCCGCGTGCGTTGCATATTCGACCACATGACATGTGTTGTGTCAGTGCGCAAATCTTTTTGTATTATCCTGGGTTGTCCAATTCCCAAGAAAAACTAACCGCGAACAAGTACAAAAATTGTACATTTTTATAACCGGAAGTAAGCCCTTTATACAGCATGAACAAGGGAATACGTTAACACAAATGGCGTTGTTATTAATCGTCCAGCATGGTGCGCCAATGGGATTGGCTAAAATGGGTAAAAACGTGTCGACGGCTGATTAGTTGAGGGGTTGGTGTGAAAGATAGGCAGTGCGTTATCAATCATTAGTCGATGTGATATGTGATTAAATGATTGGCTCATGGCTGCATTGATATGTGGAACATATGGACCTGTGTTAACAAAGCACTTGTCCGCGGGTTGAAAGAATGGTGACGTATTTTCAGGGAGATAATCAATTCCCCGAAAGGTGAAGTGGGACTTGCGAGATAAGCATGTCAGATGGTTTGTTCACGCTTTGATCGTGCCGGTCCCTAAAAGCAAGTCTAACTTGAAAGCTTCTGAAGGTCGGTTCAGCTGCTGGATTTTGAGATGCGACTAAGCACACCAGAGAAATTTTCTTTGGTTTATTATTGTTTATTAGATTTGTACTGAGCGAATGGGACAAGCCTTGACAAAATCGATGAATTTTTAGGTAAGCTACGAAGTCTGAAACAAGATTATGCGGAATCAGATGTTTTATATGCTGATGAAATTACGTTGTATTATTGTGCCTCGTCCGAATGCGTATTCCAAGGGTGTTATGCCTGGGCTTCTAGTGAAAATTGGCCCTCAGTTGTCGGTGGAAAATATACGGATCCATGCTATTTCCTGGTCTCGGATAATAAGCGTCTACCATGAAATCTGCAGCTCATTAATCACACGGATGACTTCTGCCCCGTGATGGTTGATTGAGATATTTTAACAATCGGATGAATCATAATAAGAGAGAACTTTTTTGCTCTTTGTGAACTACGCAGTTCCTCATCGAGTCGTTGGTCCGCTGTGTAAAGTAGAAGTGGTATTTCTACACCACAGTTTCACGTCAGTTATCTAGCCTATGGACGAATGAGCTATCTGGCCCTCCTCCGAAAATTCTTGACTACATAACGGATAGCGTAGAAGACAAAATCCAGGAAAAGTTGATGAACAGGTCTGAAATTTTAAATACTATGCATTAAATTAGGTGCGCTTCAGCAGAACTGCATCCTGACACTGTCATCAAGGCCTTCCTTAAGACTTGCCTTACAATAATGGACGCGGAAATCTCACTTAACGGTAGAGCTTTAATGAACGATTGTTTTTCTTGAAGAAGAGATGCAATTTATTGACGTAGACACCGATTAGATAATATCATAATAGTTTAATAAACTTTATGCTCCTGGATACGTTCAGGAGCAGCAAGGGTTGGGCCATATTAAACGACGGAAGCGGAAGAAGAATCGGAAAGAATCGGAAAGACGTGCTACTCAGCCTCCAAACTATCAAGATTTGCGCGATGACACGGTGATTTCCATCAAATGCAATGGTGTATGTGTGATATGACCAAGTTCAGTGTTTACCAAGAAGAAAATGAAACGAAGTAAAAAATTACGACTTATTCCCTTATGAATTGTCCACTAATCAAGTGTTTATTTTGGTTTATGACTTTCGAGCATCGCATTTGATTACGTTTTACACCCAGTAAAATGAGTCTGTCCGGTTCGTATTGTGGAGCAAGCAGTTTGTGTTGTTTTCCCTGATACACCGTTGAACTTCCAAAGTAGTTGCATTCATGATGAGAGACGTGTATCTTGTTGTAATTTACTCATGAAAGTGCGAAGTGACTGTTATTTTTGTTCAGCACAGTGGTGATTGACAGTATACACTCACAATAAGGTTCTGCAATGGTGACCTCGTTTTTTCACGGGAATAGTACAAGGTCCGGTTCAGGTGACAAATGCCTAGACAGAATGGGTCACGGGAATTCGGAGCGAACTCCCAAGGCCGTTATTTGTTGCGGGCTAGGATGTCCCAGTTATCGATCAATCGATAATCCAATGTACTCACCCACTCCCTCCCTCGGCTTTCAGTCAGGGAATACTGAGTTTCAACCAATATGAGCTTTGCCTGAATTGTAAGCAGACCGATTCGGAAATTCGAATGAACGTGTTTCGTTGAGAATCCAAAGATGTGTGATATAGTAAGATACCAAAAAGCGAACTGAGTGCGAAATATCGAAAATGAGCAGAAACAAAACTGACAGAAACTTCATGCTTTTTAAGTTCAATAAAATGAAAGGAACCAAATAAATGTGGCAGTTAGGCAACTCTTGTGGATTTTTGTACTAGAGATTCACACCTTCAGTTCGCGATCCTTTCACCAAGCTCAACATTAGTGCATTTGCGCCATACAGTCTACTGTTGCACGAAATCTGTTATGAAGGTCAGACATACACTGATATGTACTCGCCAGTCTGACGGCCCACTCATCAATCTTCTCTTTTGAGTTCAAGTGATGCTCACGAAATGGTCGTCTGGCATGCAGTCTGAAATTGAGAATGAAGGAAGTTACGTCACGAGATTATCGAGCATTTTGGCATTTCAAAACGAACAGTGAGCAGACCGGTCGATCGACTCAACAATGGAAATCCACCGTTTGAACCGATAAGTCAATAGTTTCCTTATCCAAACACGACCGTCAGATGCGTGTTTGGAAACAGATCTTTGGAACTAATAAAAGTGGTTTGATGAGTGCAACAATGCAGCACAGTTCAGGTTTAATGCATGTCTGGGGGGGGGGGGGTGGCATCTGGTAGGAAGATCGAGTGAGATGGTATTTCTGGACAGCTTCATCGATGGTCAGTTTTGCCTAGAAGTCCTGACCTGACACATCCTGCCACTACTGATTACAATTGCTAAAGCTATTTTCGAGGACGACTGCGAGCCTGCATATCGTTTCCTTGTCGTATGTGGGTTTCATACGCACTACAGTACAAAGGTGCTCCCGTGGACAACCCGACTTCCCGATCGTAATCCAGTAGAATTTTGTGAGATCAGCTCGGGAGGAAAGTTGGTCCGAAGCGACAATGCAAATCTCTAGAGAAGTTGAACATTGCTTTGGGGGAGGAATAGGACTGCATGCCACAAGATACTATAAGACGGCTGATAGTGAGTATGAGCTGACGGATAAACACTGCTACACCATCAAAAGGTGGCTCAGCCATATATCAGTGAATGACCGTTTGAGAATGATCACACTATTCTATTCACAACAGAATATTTTGATTTAGATAAAGGATTTCACTAATATCCAATGCTTTCAGAGGGACGTTTTTTGAGAACAGAGCGTTTTCAGTTCAAAGCGTGAACTGTCATTTATTTTCGGCATCTTAGTTGTGAGTCTCTTCATTAGTTGCGATCTCTTTCTAAGTGACAGAATCACCCCTGTCAAGGAATTCATGCAACTTCTCAACAGTCATGCGGTCACTTTTGTCAACGACAGCCCTCACAACCGCTACAATTTTATCACGAGTCTCGGTTTTTGAGTGCCATTCACGGGTAGGGAGCATCCTATTTGGAAAAATAGACAAACTGTAGTAACTGACATCGCTTACTGACTGGTGAAAAGGTTTGAGTTTCATCACCGATGGCTTCTTTTAATTCATCAAAGCACTGAGTGGGTTTGGACCCTGACAGGAAGTAATACAAAATAGACGAACTCATTTTTGGAAGCTTATTTTTCTTCCGCATTGGATATGCAAATTTGTATTCCCGGTCTTAAAACTTTTGTGCCCGGGGAAATGGGTGCAGTTAGTAACCTAGGATAAAAAAACTAGTCTGTCATCAGAAGCATCAAGTGGTCCACTGTTCGTGCTTATGGTAAGATCATTTTAAAATTTTAACTTAATATTCTTATTATTACTATTATTTTGTTATTATTCTGCATGTTTGTGCCCAGTGAAAACAAACGCATCTTGAAAGAATTGGAAGATAGACTATTGCTTGAACTGGCCACACAGACTGGCAATATTCTGGACAATTGGGAACTGATTGGCACGCTGGAAGACACAAAAAGCAAAGCAGTAGATGTGAGCAAACAATTGGCTCAAGGTGCAATTGTTGCGAAAGACGTCGAACGTCAGCGAGACTCGTTCCGACCGGCAGCAAGGTACACAATTAAGAGGCGTTTTGTTCAGTGTTCCCTTCGTAATATTGCTTTCAGTTATTTTATGTTCCAAAGTGTTCGACTCCAAAGGTAGTTTCGAGCATTTCATGTTGACAGGATGCAGGGCTGTTCGAAGGGAACATTTGAGTCACTGACTTATCTTTTCATTATGTTTTCTCAATATTATTTCGAGTTTCATTTCGTAAGACTTGATTATTCATGTGTGAAAAACCTGATAGAATCATAGTCTGTTAGCCATTGAGCTTGATATTTCGATCTAGATGACGTTGCCCGTGTGCGGTTGATGTTTCGATCTCCAACAGTAGTCACACGTGTACCAACTAAATACTAAATTGGTTAATCAGAAAACTCAATAGGCCATCAATCTAAGCAACGAACATCCCACGGTTCAAAGTTATTTTGGATTGGTTCATCACTCATACGGACTGGAATCCACTTGTTGAAAAAGATGAAAACTGAAGTAGCATCATGCTACCTTACTTTATTCATCGTTCAGGAGACCATACGACTCATATTCGATCCTGTTCTGTGTTTAACTTCTAACTGTGTGCTAGTGCACACGGTTCTCACCCTTCATCGTTCGTGTTCAATAGCGAAGACACTTTTCGTCGACATTTGACTCCCCTGTGTGATAGACAATCCATTCATAGCGCTTTGCCGCTCGTTGTCCGAAGTGACAAAATGGCTACGGTCCGTGTTGTTTTCTTTGTTCAGAATCAATAATGAACAATTTTATAGATTTGGAATTACCGGAAATAAGCCAGCGCATCCACTTCATGTATTGGTATTTGAGTGTGTTGCACTTAAACGCACTTTTCATGTGCCCAAGTGATGCAATGAGGAATGATGATGTTGATCATAAGATGAACAACTGAAGTCGTTTTATGATGAGATCTAAAGCTATGACGACTTTTTCGTGTTGGGCGTGAGTTGCGTCCCCCGAGTATCGTCAACGAGATCAACCCATCCAATGGTGGAAAATATTAGAAAATGAGGCAACACGTTGCATTCAGTAATTATTGTTTTCATACTGTTTTTTCATCTGTCTGATCATTTATGATCTCTCTTTGTCCCCCAAACCCTCTATCCCTCTTAATATTTTGTTTTAATACCGCGCTTTGTTAAAATATTAACTCAAACTGCCAGACACGGATGCATCAGTAATAAACGTGAAAAGTGCATTGAACTGAGGTTGGTAAACGTTTGTCATAATCAAACACCTAGAAATCCCCGAGAAGCCCTGCAAAATTTCAGTTCAGCTCATTTAGTTCTGTCATTAACCTCACACCTCCATGCTCCGGTTTCAGTTGATACCTTCCAGCATCATCCAGTAAAGGGCAGAAAGAATAGGAGCATAAAGTGAAAGAGATCAGAAAACCAAAGTAATAGGCGAAAATTACGAAGACAGAGGAAGAGTTCGAATATATCTACTCCACTGGCCGCGACACCTAACCATATCGCCTAATGTATCCATTGTTGATGCGGTGTTCTCACCATATTCGAGCAATGTAAGGAGACATTGGTGCTCGAACACTGACAGTCTTTGCCTATCTCCTACCGTTAACGGCCATGTTTCTGAGCTGTGTAGAAGAACGAACCTAACCGTCGCATTGTACACTCTATCCTTGACAGACAACCGAATGTCACACTGGCGTCGAAAATGGCCGAGATTGGCAAAAGCCAAACGCGCCTTCTGTATAGGTGATGGCACTTCATTCGATATCTGTCAATGTGGTAAGATGTAACTGCCCAGGTAACAATACTTATTTACTTCAGCTAGAGTTTCCCCTACCAACGCAAGGTTTGTTGTTGAGCCAACCCAGTTTTGCAGCAGCATTTTACACTTAGAAGGTGCGAAACGCGTCCTAATGATTGCTACACTATTGTTCAGGCTATCAAGGAAAGCTGGCAACTTACCTGGATCTTCACTCAAAAGAACAATGTGGTCCGCATATTCCAAGTCAGACAGTTTACTGTCCTAGAAAAGGTCAATGCTGCTATTCTCACACGATAATAGGGCTATCTCAAAAATCAGCTCATTTACAAAATTGAAGAAGAGGGCCGAAAGAGGACCACCCTGACAACCACCACTCCCTACGATGAATTCGGATAACTTCCTAACTCAAGCTTGCGACGGGAAATCATTTTTTACATGCAGATCATGGTTGTTTACCGAATCCCACTGAATTGATCTGACCAGCAATACGAAGTCAGAAATTTGCACAAAAATTTCGATTCAACTATTTTCCCTCCCCTCACCGTCCTCTACTGTGTGTTTGCACTACTCTTCTTTCTGCCCCAACCAGTGTGAGTTCTAAATGATCTAGTTTCAGAATTTACTGTTACTTAATTAGTTGAACTCAGATACGGGATTAGTGATTGACCAAACAATTCAAAAACGGCTAGGCTTGGTTCAATACCATGGTTTAGGGCACACTACCGCGGCGATCATTTTGTAGCCATTGCCTGGGTTTCAGTAGCGAAGTCTGTCACGCACTCATCACACTAGGGAAAGGAGCACCCGTTGTATCAGGGGTGTTTTTCATGTGACTCACACGGTCAGTGGACTGAGAGAGTGTGCCCACTGACACTGACTCAATGTGACTGCGCGGCACGGGTGTGCTTGATGGGCTTGGTAAATAAATGTCGGGACAGGACAACTACATAACGGGAAAATCTGTGGTCACGTCCGCGTTGACATTGTCCCCTGCTGTTCGTTTTCCAGACGCGGTGCCATCCTATTTTTCGTACTGTCCGATCTGTCTATGGTTGGGCCGATGTATCAATTCTCTTTGTCCTCCTATTTGTCGGTGTTCCTCAAAGCGTTGAAAAAAGCAATGCCCCATAGTTCGTTGCCAAAACGGTTGAGCAACATCAAAAATGCGCTCACATATGCAACATACTGTTATGGTTGTATGGGTAAGTTGACATTAGATCGTTTCTCCTGTCCTTCTTGTTGACGGTGTGATATGACGGGATAAGCGGGACAACTTGCATACATTCTCTCTATTCTTCTTGTCTATTGCACACGCAATCAATCGTTGCACACGGTACGCCAAAAATTCATTTTACTTGCACGTTAGCAAGCAAGTGACGAAAACAGTCGAAGTGAGACAGAAATGTGGTCGTGAAAATCAAATGCTAGGGAAGGGGATACACGAATCGCAGCTTTTCCGTCAGGATTTTCTCGCACTTTTTCATCCTCGTCGTATAGATTCTCTTCCGTGTATGACAATTCTCTGCGTTGAACATCGATTCTCATTGTAGTTTCATCTGCTCACCACTGTGTAGGGTCTTCTCACCAGAAGTACATCGAACTTCAAATCAAATTTGCCTAACATATCTTCAAATGATTGATTTGTTCCTCGCAGTGTATAAAAACCGATGGTCATCAATAAGGTACTGATTTTCTCCCACATACATTCACCCTATCCGAACCAAGCTAACCTAGCGTGCTTTCAAATGGACTCCTTCTCATCATGAAGCGATATGAATAAGTTGAGCAATAAACAATGGTAGTTGTATATTCAGGATACAAATAAATATTTTCGAAATCCAATGCTGTCTGAACAAATGTGAATAAATGCTGGTCGTAGAAGACTAAATATTGTCCAGCAGCTATATTTAACTCAGGTCATTGAAACCCTATGTAAATTATCGTTTTGAATCTTATACCTGCTCGGCTGTCGTACTCTTGTAGACGAGATTTTTCGTCTCTATACATCAGAAGTATCAGGTCCTCGTTTGAACAAGACCACCTTACGCAACAATGGGCTCCGAATCGATTATTGCTGTACACTTGAACGGTCAGGAATGAATTTGTAATAAAACAGCAACGATGATGTGTACCGTTCAATGCGCTCGGAGAGGAGGAGATTCAAAAATGATCTCCAAACACCTGGGAATCAACATTAGGACCGGCAGAAGTATATCTGCAATGAACGGAGAAACTGCGCTGAAAGGAGGCGGTGCGAGAAGAGACTCTCCAGACGAATATATAAAAACTCTTTGTGGAAAAAAATCCCCAGTATACACTACGTCTAATGAAGTATTTTATGGACAGGGTTTACCCTCAGTGCCAAACAAGTATCTCATCAGTCGACCGATTATTGGATACTCATCATTACACAATAAAAAAGCGATGAATCAACCTACGGAGTGGAACACTAATACAGTCAAAACCAGGATAGTAGAATATTCTGGCTGGTTGCAGACTGCTGGGTTCAGCCTAACGCGCTTGTATGTCGACGAAACAAACTAAATATTTGATGCTGCAGCACCTACGAAAGAGCAAAGACTGGGGAGTGTTGCAATCGGGTCGTTTCATTAAACAAAATGCAAACTTGGATGTATTTGCTTGTATCTCGAAATCCGGCATTCTGTAACTTGGTTGCTATCCTAAAATTACGTGGTCAATATTCAGTAAATTCGTGGAAGCTTGTTCAGAGAAGCTGAATATGGAACAGCCAAATGATAATGCTGAATTCACCTTTGTCCACAGTACAATATCTGGTGCTCAACTGCGCAACTGATGTACTCTGAAGTACAGTTCATTTCTCAACCCAATCGAGGAAGTCTTCAGTTAAATCAAACGGAATTTATTCACATTTGTTCAGACAGCATTGGATTTCGAAAATATTTATTTGTATCCTGAATATACAGCTACCATTGTTTATTGCTCAACTTATTCATATTGCTTCATGATGAGAAGGAGTCCATTTGAAAGCACGCTAGGTTAGCTTGGTTCGGATAGGGTGAATGTATGTGGGAGAAAATCAGTACCTTATTGATGACCATCGGTTTTTATACACTGCGAGGAACAAATCAATCATTTGAAGATATGTTAGGCAAATTTGATTTGAAGTTCGATGTACTTCTGGTGAGAAGACCCTACACAGTGGTGAGCAGATGAAACTACAATGAGAATCGATGTTCAACGCAGAGAATTGTCATACACGGAAGAGAATCTATACGACGAGGATGAGAAAGTACGAAAAAGTACTGAGTAAAGACAGGAGATGGTGTAGACCGATAAATCACTCAGATTAAGGTCTGTATGCTCCATACTAAGTTTAACACTGAAACGACGAGGTAATCTAAGAAGACACTGGATGATAGTAAAAGCTGGAATAACGTTTTGTTGTTTTACCGCAGTCCGACGAGGTTTATTGACTTTTCCTGATGATCAGTTTCACATGTTTCTCCAAATTTCGCTGAAATATGTCATTCAAAACACACTTTAGCAGCATCCAAACCGATTTTTAGATCAAAGTGATGAGGTATCCATCTGGACACTGACGTCGGCTTGTTATCTGATTCTTCCGCACACAGAGGTTGACAGCCAAATCTTAAATCTTTTTAGGTCAATCGACTATAACGACTCAACTTGCTGCCTTATCACGTTTCTGCCATTGCAGCTGGATTTACCACAGGCACAGCTTTGGAAGTTTTTACTCATCATGCCAACATACCTGTAACCTATCAGTCTTAACGTGAAAAGTACATACTATCTGCGTCACATCAGTTGGATTGTTTCTAGCTGATGATTCATCCGAAACCGTATTCAGCTGGATTCACTCAGCGCAGGATGTCGACGTGGGTTGTGAGGCCAAATGAACCTTTGCGAAGGACGTGAAACGGAATCTTCGGGTCTACATGTTTCATGAATAAACGGATGTAATAGGTTTTATCAGTCAAAACAGAAATCAGTTGAATAATGAAGATGCCAATCTGGTTTGCGCAAAAACTCCGTAGAAAACGTTTTAAGAATGCTCCCTGGTCCTCGGTAGGGAAGGTCAAAAGTATAGACCCTGTACTCCACGCTATCGATGTATGCGTTGACGACTCAGTGCTATGCACTGTTTTGCAATTCACGAAGCGTCCCCGATTGCCGTTGTTGATGCTTGAACTGAAGGCTGTTGATCTATTGAAAAATGCGCGTGATATACACGGTTAATTCTACCGAGTATATTTTCTATGGATTTCAAAACTTGGATCGCAGCTGATCTCAAGAATAATGACTTGTGACATTTTTTTTCTTTTAAAGGAGTTTATCAACTAAAAAACAGAAACAGACTAATTACATACATACCAAATAAGATAGACGAGTTTATCATCAAATTTTGAATGTTTTTAAAAACAAAAGCAAAACGTTTGTACTGCACGGCTTTACTTGAGAAAAGGAGTTGAGATGTGGTCGACCTCGGGCGGAAGATGTCGCTCTTAGGTTGATGGGTATTTGGTGGAACAGATGCCACAATCACATAAAAGATAACTTGTTCATCACTCCTCAGCTGTCCTATAGATGCAACAAAAGCGAGTAACGTTATTCAAGTGATATTTTGACACTTTGCGAAGCGAATTCTTTGTTCTGAGATATACAGAATGTAGCCTTGGAGTTCCTTCATTACCAGAATGTCTATAGATAACGAATATTTACGAAAGGTGCCAAGGTATCTTGTTTCAAGCAGTAGTGCGGTTGATTCAGAGTGGCGTTTCACAGTTCACATTTTTACTTTGGTGTCTTTGAAGATATACCATTACTAGCTTTCGAATGTGATCAGATTGCTTTTTTCAGGAGATTATTTTCCGGATTTATTAAGGAAGGTGTCCGTGCGTACACCTCGTTGCTCTGTCAATGTATTTTTCTCCCATCGTTCTAGTGTTAAATGACGGTGCTCAAACTGACCGCGTCGTAAGTCCCCCTTATCTCAGAGAACGTTCGACGTAATAGGAGTTTTTTTAACACAGAAGTCAAAAACTTTAGCTTGCGCGATATGTAAAAGATCATTCTGATACATGTGTACTGGTGCACACTGCAGTCTCGTTAATCGCTTTCAGAGTCTTTCAAACATCTTCCGGACGGCTAATGTGCACCATATGCATCATAATTCAGATGTTAATTTTCTTGATTCTAGTGTGATGGTGCTGCTCTTGCCTAATCCAGGATATTTTCGCTGAACAAAATTTGACTGAGTAAACGTGTCAACGCTGAGAATGAGATTAGAGAAAATCTAGTTAGCGACCCCGGTGGCAACCCGACTGGACTGTTGACTTAGACACGCTTACTCTTGATTAAATCCGTATATACTCAGATTGGTATATGTCCCTGTGCAATCTTCGTTTACCGTTCGCGTGGATCACCGAGCCCTTAATCTAGATGATATATCGGTCGAGTACGTTGCTTCGCCCTACTATCACCCAGTCTTCACGATCACCTGTTTACTTTATCTACATCGTGGTATCTGCAATAGATGGCCTACTAACAATCATTTGAGAAGCAAGCCTCGAAGTTTGATCTTTCCAGGGTGTCTGCAATTTAGTTCACTTAATTCTATCAATAACCTCACACCTCCATGCTCCGGTTTCAGTTGATACCTTCCAGCATCATCCAGTAAAGGGCAGAAAGAATAGGAGCATAAAGTGAAAGAGATCAGAAAATCAAAGCAATAGGCAAAAATCACGAAGACAGGGGAAGAGTTCGAATACATCTACTCCACTGGCAGCGACACCTAACCATATCGCCTAATGTATCCATTGTTGATGCGGTGTTCTCACCATATTCGAGCAATGTAAGGAGACATCGGTGCTCGAACACTGACAGTCTTTGTCTATCTTCAACCCTTAACGGCCATGTTTCTGAGCTGTGTAGAAGAACGAACCTAACCGTCGCATTGTACACTCTATCCTTGACAGACAACCGAATGTCACACTGACGCAATCGAAATCACTCATCCCTGGGTGGCTAATTGATACCGATTAATGTGTCAGAACCGAAATCGGTTCGGAGTGTATCGAAAAATCGATGCGCCATGTGAAATGTTATGGTAGAATTTTATTGCTCAATAACACAGCGTAGTCGAGATCGTTGGTATGTTGTCGACGTTTCGGTCACCACGGGTAACCTTTTTCAAGACTGGTTTTACAACCGAATGGAACTGGAATAATAGCTTAAAGCAATTGGGTGTTAGTCACCGCGTGTTCGTGTGTTGGTCTGTGTTTGTGATGTTGTTTTAGTGTAAGGGGTGGGTGGGTGGGTTGAATCTCCGTCCTCACTATGTGTCCGTGTTAGTGGGGTCAGCTGAGGTCAACAAGGTGCTATGACCCGTTTTGGTGTTTATCCATCCGCGTCGTAAGTGCCATCCATATGCTTGAAATCTCTGCCCCATCGTTGCGATTGAGACACGATTGGTGGGCGCTAATTGATACCGCCTATTTTTTGCTCTATCAATCTCAAATCGTAAGTCCTAACAACATAAAGCATTTGGTATCCAAGATACTGCCAATTTTGACGAAGTAAACAATGTTTCACTGTTTTTCTCTCTTCCAAATAGGAATCTTCGAAGAACACAAACTGTTACTTTCGTTCGAATTAGCGCTTCGATTGCAACAAGATGAAAATCTCATTCGTCCCAAAGAATTGGCCTTTCTAGTGCGTGGAAATGTGGCCCTGGTTGAAAGTAGCTTCACCCCGCCACATTCATGGATTCCCGAAAATGTGTGGCGTGATGTGATCTACTTGGCTGCGTTTCTTCCTCGACGATTTGGCAAATTGCCCAAAGATGTACTTAATAATGGTGATGTATGGAGACAGGTACGTCTCGTATTGAGCATAGATTTAAATGATCAGTGTTGAGGATGTTTTTCTCCTAAGTTGAAACCGCGACAGAACACGGTCAAACTTTACTACGGTGGTTATTAGTTAGAGGCGATCAAAGTTCTTCGTTGTCTATGTGACCGCCCACGCTCACCATCCATTATTCCGTGTTATCACACTAGCATTATATAAGTACACAGAACAGAAATCCCGATCATCATCAAAGCATGCAGTGACCCGTAGAGCTTCTTGCGCGTACGGGATTCACTGTGGTAATGATATGCAAGTGGAGAGCCGCTTCTTGACCAACCACAAAAGTGTACGGATACAGTAAAACAACTGAGAATCAGAACAGGCAATCAAACATCAATTCTATCTTGTCCTTTCACGTTAAGTGTTTGTCCAACTAATTGCGGAATAGCCACAGTCACGGGAAAGGTTTAACTGCATTGCACTCTCACTGATCATGTGCTAGGTTGAACCACCCGGAAACACGCTGATGTGCCCAGGAATACCTGTGAATATGGATTAGTGCGTGCGTACTGGCTACGCTACTCTCTGCAAAGTATTTTTCTGGGAAGCCATAATGGTTACTTTAGCGGGACTGCATAACCATTTCCCCTTTTGATCTAACAGACACTGATTCGCCTGGTTGCAACATTTAGTCATATTTTCGGATTTATCTTTGCAACCCACTCATGGGTGCCACCCGTGCTTTTGTATTGCATGTGGCCTACCAGCTGCGCTACGAGATCACGCAAGGGGCTCCCAACGTTTCGCATACGGATCGTACACTTCCCCAGTACTCATCAATGAAGTAGAATCAATCGATACGGTAGCTTGCGCCACCAATTGCATATCACGCTTTTTACTGCTCTGCCTGTGGACGGTTGAACCGTACTTCCCTTAGCTTTACTTGTGTTCGGTACTGTTCTAGCTTTAAAGCGCGATCGAAAAACTACACGTTTTCCGTGAACACTGCCTTTCACATAACCTACCGACTTTTAATTACGTCTTGGCAACCGTTGGAGCATTTGGCTTGTTGCCCGTTCCCTATGCCAATCTTGGGATCTAGTTAGTACCGGGTGTGAGGAAAGGACTGACACACTGTCAACAGACGGCTTGGTTCGTTCAGTAGACGGTACGATGGCTTGGCAGACATACACTCCGTCTTCGCCTGTCCTGAATCGAGGAGAACATTGGAACGAGCGAATCGGACCGAAGAACCAATCAGTTGCCAACTGTCGTCTGAGCCGAATAAACCAGTTGGGTTTGTTCCCAGACTAATCACTCAGAAGAGCTGGCTGGGAATAACCGGTGAATCAATAAGTGTGCGGACCAATATTTGGTTAAGACCACAATCTATGGTATGTTAGCTGTCGTTTTTGTACTAATTAATTGAGATGATTCGCAGGCAAAAACGACTTCCCATTAGAGTTAGTTGAACGGATCAGAAAATCGGGTAACTAGTCGAGTTCTAAATTGGATAGATCACCGCACTTTCCAATTTCTTCGTTGTTGATCCCCGAGTACAGGTAAACCATCTTATCATATCTAGTCGGTAATAATTCATTTTGCAGCCTTTTTTCGATTTTACCGCTACATTGGTTTCTCACTTTTCCGAATTTGGTTTTACTTTGTTTAGCCGTTTTGCGGTGTGAGTGAACCAAAAAAGTTTTGACGCTGAAGTAAATTCATTTGCGTTCCCGTTCGCACCGTTCGGGGAAAGTAACTCGAGGTCTTGGTTTGCGCAGATAGAAGGAAGTTTTTTGTGGCGCAGTGTGACTACAATTTTTTGGAATCTGGCCAATACCTGGTAGATTAGAGTACTAAACAATAACGGCCACAATCACTCCTTAAACACCTCACTCTAGTACCTTTGCTCGACATATGGTTAAATAATTTTGTCTATAATAACAGGGTAAAGAGTCACTTAGTGCTAATAGCTGCCGTTGCTCAAGTTCGGATCAAAAGAGCTGGATTCAATCATTTATTGGCTGTGAAGGAAGTCCAACAATTGACGAAATGATTACCATTTCAAATACGAATTCTAACACCTGATTTTACCTTTCCAAAACCAGTGGTATAATGCCAAAAATCCGGAAGCACTGCGTTTTCCAGGACGTTATGCGAAGCTTCTTCCGTTCGTTCGACTCTGTTTGATTCGGTGCTGGCGTATGGATCGCGTTCAGAGTGCGGTCACTCATTACGTGATCAAGGTGTTGGGTAAGCAGTACGTGGAACCACCGATCACCAATTTGGCTGATGTACTTGCCTCCACGACACCGAAAATTCCCATCGTGTTGATCGTTCAACCAGGGTCGGATCCACAAAGTCAGTTGACCAGTTTGGCTCAGTCGTTGGATTTAGGACACAATCGAATCAAGTATTTGTCGATGGGTCAAGGACAAGAACCGGTAGGTTTAATGAATTTGACAGATTCTCGGTGATAACGGTATTAGTGATTGAAGCTGGAAATTCGTCTGAACTAATTATATAGAAGGCAGTCATCCTCACACGTATTTTTACATCTTCATTCTTTGCTCTGTAGATATCTCGCTTTTTAGCAAAGACCGAAAGTTGTATTCAGATAGCTGATGGAAAACCAGATTGTTTGTCATATCTTTTATCTAAGACAGCTACCAAATTCAACATAACCTTAATTAAACGGTGTGATTTAAGACAAAGTGCAAATTGCAAGCATCTCACTAGGCTGCGGACGTAGAATATTTCAGTTTATATATGATACAGTACCTGTATTGACAGGTTTTTGGGATGGAATTTCTGTATGGAAGATAGATAGCTTGAATTATTTGTTTTTTCGATTAGAGAGCGAGATTTCTCGGCTCAATTACCATGGTTTCACTGAACGCTAAGTCTTCGATTCCGGTTGTACTGTCACACTTTGGACGATTAGTTCAGCTAAGTTCAGTTCTAACGAACGCTAACCATGCACTGGGTCCGACGGCCCCGGTTGTCATCTCACTTCCTGAATCACAATGGTCGACTATACCCGATGTTCTGTTGGGAAATGTGTTGCAATACCTGATGTGGGATTTTTCGTCTAAATTTGTGTTTTGTTTGTTTTCGGAGCGTGTTCAATCAAGTTAAGAACCGTGTATTCATGTCTGCCCTATCTAGACACATGTCACGGGAACTGCAAGTGAATTGGAAGACAACATGTTAGGTATTTGGCTCAGTTAGACTCATAGAGGGACCATGGCCTCGCCCAGTCCATCGGTAGTTTGCATTATGCGTAACTTGGCTGCCGTGAATTCTCGGTTTAAAATAACGTTCGAGTTATTGTGCAATTGGTCAAACGTTTGACTTGCTTTAGAAGGAACAATCAAGCCGTCTGTGGGGACCCGTTTCACATCGTAATTTCCAATGATGTTCAGTGGAGCTTTCCAAATAATCTTCAAATAAAAGAGTTTTCTCCATTTTCTAGTTTATCAGGCTTTTAAGTATTACAGGGTGTTTTAGAAAAAGATTCCTACTAGACTATTTCTAAGTAACGGATCGAAACCAGCGAACGGTAGAAAATGACCACCACATGTTGCTTTTCTGTAGATAGACAAACATTTGTAGTTTACCATCCGAACTACTTGTTATTAAAATAAGGCGTAACTAAGTTTGGGTGGATAGAATCTAAATACAAAATAAAATCATCTTTCGAAAATGAGAAAAGTGCCATCAACAAAACGTTTCTACAAAATTTGGCAGTCTGTGCCACCTGACAACAGTTTAAGACCGAAAAGCTCAATGGAATGCTTGCTACTGCCGCTTTTGTTTGCCTTTGATTCCGTAACCTGGATCAAGCGGATCGCACTTGTAGCCGATTCGCCCCCTCTCCCATATGCTTATCTGATTATCCAGTCCCACTGCGTCACATTTTCTAACCTTTCTGTGACAGTGTGGAGAGATGTTATCTATATGTCAGGACCGAACGAGGTTTGGAGTGTATCGAAAAAATGATGCGCCATCCGGTGTGTCAAAGGAGAAAAATTTAATGTCAATGAAACGGCGTTTTCGGTGGAAAACTATGATTAGTCGACGTTTCTGCCACCGCAGGTAACCTTTCTGAAGGCAGTTTAAAAACTGTCTTTCTTGTTTAGATGTCATCTACTTTTAACCCGTAAGTGTGTTTGGCCCGTTGTTTATCTTACCTTCCTAACCTATTGTCATTGCCTGCCCATTCTTTGGTCCCGCTCTGCTCTCCCGTTCATTGGTCAACCGGTTTCCCGAGTTCGTGTCTGTTTGTTCGAACAGTCTTATCGTGTTGCTCACCCTCCCCACTGTTTTTCGTGCCGTCTTCATTGTCGTTTAATGTTCTTGCATTTGTAACAATGGCCCGTACTCGCGGTCATCTGTCCAACGAACCATTGTGTTGTTCGTTTGTCAGGGTCATCTTCGCTCTTATCCTCCCCGCTTTATGTAGTGCTGTTCCACCATGTCATCAACCGTTGACTGTGATTGGTCATTCTTTCCCGCCTGTCTCACAATTGTCTGCCCCCTTGTTTATTGTTCGACTTTGCTCTCGAACCTGCCTGTGTGCGCTTGCAACGCCTTTAGACGGGTGATCTGATCTGATCTCCATTGACTGTACACTGTGGCCGGATTGTCCACAAATTGATGTACATATTCATTAGAGCTTGACTGCTATTCTTTCACGATGCACGTAGCTTACTGATTTCGCCTTCTCCGACTGACGATTCGAGCTTCGTCTACTACGAGTCGATCAACAACTGGACCTGAGTCCCGTGGACGGGTAGTGCCACCATTCAACTTGGACATCGGTAATCGAACAACGGCAGTTCCCATTTCGATTTCTCCTTGAAATTGGACTGATTCAGTTAATCATATAGATGATAAGCAACTGACATTAGTGACTGGAATTCCGTTATTTAGCATTCATAGCTAATTTGGGATAACCGTCTGTATCGTGTCTTGGTTCTATGAGTTCATGAATTCGTCATTTATGAATGTTCTACTCATCATAATAGATGTTACTTCAGTTAACATTTTTAAAATAAAGAATAGTGTTTACATTTTGTTAACTAGACGTGTGCAAATCAACTCGATAAAATTAAATGTACGGTGGGCGTCTCAATTGTTGTTTTCCCAGCACGCCGAAAGTTTGTTCGTTCAGTGCGCGACTCGCGGGAATTGGCTGTTGCTGCAAAACTGCCATTTACTCATTCGTTTTATTGCTACCCTGGAAAAGTTGCTAGATGACTTGAGCAAACCGCATCCAGATTTTCGTTTGTGGATTACAACAGAGTTGGTCTCTAACTTCCCGATCGGAATGCTTCAGCGCTCGTATAAAGTGAGTTGGGTGCTCGTTTCTATACCCCACAGTCACAAAACAATACTGAAGTCACTAAATCAACAGATTGATCACAAATATCAAGTACAAAGGTGTCATTGATATCATGTTCTCAACAGGTTGTGATGTTATGACTTTGTTTCACATCCACCGAGAAGCGATTCGTCAAAGGAATTGATTGCTGTATGGGTGACTTGTTGGTACTACCCAGAGTTATTACCAGATGAATGTTAAATTTTACTGTGTTGATATGATTCAAGCAATCGAGAGCTGTCCCGGGTAGACTGGTGGTAACCTGTACGGATATAGTACGTATTACGTGTGTATAACATGAATACAATTAATGTTAGCTATGACCAACCCACAACTATCAGCGAATCGCTGTTGTGATTCATAAGTGAATAACTAACGTCAAAACGGAAGAGATCTTCATCGAGATCCAAAGGTTATGATGGCGATATTTTCATTGAATGCTGGAATTCAACAAGTTTCATCTGAAGATTCCAGATGCTACTGTCCTCGATGGCACTCCGCTGCATTACACTTAGTTCTGCAAAGGTTAAGAGTTCACTGTTGAACAAAATTGTTGGGTTTAGTTGCGTCATTCATTCCCTAAGAACTAAGCGGTTGAGTAGTTGGAATACGGATGCATAAAGTTCCAGCATGTTGTCAAGATACCGGGTTTGCTGCAGACTTACTCACCCACTGGCATCTCTAACTGTCTGAGGTTACACATGGGAAAGAAATTTCTTCGTGTTACAAGCTTTTTCATGAGTTGCTGAGTGTAGGAAATTGCCGGCCACCTTCAGTAAGGCCTGTCATATTATTTCCTACTTGTTTTGTCTCGGAATTCCTAACTGCGTTGAAGCCTTCATAGAACCCTCTCAGTTTGTTTCGCGTCCCAACCGTCTAGTAGGCGCTCAGTCAATGGACGTTGATTGCAGGGAACACGGTTCCGTAGATCATGAACAATAGCACGTAAAAATAAACGGACAGACAACCGAAAATCTCCAATCTTGCAATGAAAACTGTCAATGCGACTCGCGTCAAACAGTGCGACAGAAGGCCGAGTAGTCCGGGTTGAGCGAATTGACTCGGAACGCGTTCGGAGCTCGTTGGATGTGTGCGCCCTAGCACAAACTTACCGCCATAGGAAAACGTGTACGTTTGTGTGTGCGCACGGTGCGATGGCCATAAGGCAGACAACGATAACCCTAGAGCAAGTTCAAGTGTGTGTGTGTGTGGTGTGTGTGTGTGTGTGTCTGTTTCAATAGTCTCGGGTAGAGAGTGATCACTAGTGCAAGTTTGAGTGTGTCACCGCATAACATTGCTGGTAGCAAACAACTACGAAACGTACTATGGGCATATTGTATGGCAGCCTACTTTTCAGTTCCATCTTGTCAACATTATGAATTAAGCATCGATTATTTTGTCTCCTGATGATCGTAGAACATTTGAGTGTCTTATGAGTGTAAACAATTCTGCATACAGTGCTGCACAAAAGAGGACGTTTGATAGTTGATGAAAACCCAATTGACAAACGAAGACGCCTCCAGGACAAGATTATTCGCGTTGCTATACCAGGAGTTTAAACGAATAAATATTGTATGCCTTTGGAAGCATTATGGACTGATTCAATTTGGTATTGCTCTGTTCGATCGGCGGAGGTCAATTGATCTGCAGGTCGAGCTCTGAATTTCTGGAACCCTGGTATTTAGATTCGGGGTTTGTCGTCGACATCGCCCACCGCCGTCGGTCCTTTTGATTTTCCGGTATGAAGATACTGCCCTACTGAGATTCTTGTCAGTTGCTTTAAAACAGATATGATTTTTTATTTATTTGATAACTTCCTTGAGAAAGGTTATCCACGGTAACCGAAAGGTTGGCATATTACATCTACCAGCAGCGCTGTGTTTTTAACGTTATAACTATCACAAAAGATATGAGTTCACTTTTGTGACTAGATTGGGTACGTTGACAATCTCGTTAACTGAGTATTTGATTGAAGTCGCGCTTTAAAACGCCATGTACTTACCATGCCAAAGTCATTGAATTTTTTTGTCTAGTGCTGCTTAGTGCATTAACGCAGTCGTTTTGACCAACCACCCCAACACAGTGAAAGTTCATAATGACAACAGGGTAACTTTAGAGCTTATTTCACTTGCATTCATTGTTTGATGATTGATCTGAAGCCTACATTTGCAAATTTTGCTTCAGTTTTAAATGGTTACCGTGGTTTTCTATTCATGAGTAGAGGATTAAGAAAAAAACATTGTTAATTGGATGCAATCTCGTATCAGGCTACAGTTCCATCTGTTGAATATGACCATAACCAACACAAATCGAAATACGATATGATCTTCTGCGATTATCTGTTTCACGACTGATTCAATTTGCCACTTTGCCGCGATTCTCCAAGGTTGTCATGGAACCACCAAGCGGTTTAAAACAGAACCTGATCGCCGGACTGAGCAAACTGTCACACGAGCAATTTGTGAGCTGTGCACATCCAAATTATCGGGCTTGTTTGTTCACACTCATATTTTTGCATTCTGTACTACAAGAACGACGTCGGTTTGGCAAATTGGGGTGGAATGTGAGCTATGATTTCTCGGACTCCGATTTCCTGGTCTCGCTGCGAATTGTACAAATCTCATTGACCAAATCACATGAGACCAAATCGGAAATTTCTTGGGATACTATCAAATATTTGATTGGCGAAGTAAGTTTTGTTCATTGCTATAGTAGGGCTGCTATTTACTCGCCTGAATGTTTTGCGATGAAGTAACACTTAGTCTCGTAAAATTCAGGTTGATTTGCAGACTGTATTCAACGGTTATCTGCGAATAAGGAAACAAATATAGGTACTGTACGACTTCGGCCGACATATTGTCTTTTCCTCTGATCTGAACCTAAAATCATCCATACAGTATGCGTATAACGACCTTAATTCTCATTCTGGCATGCTTCTCAAAGCCCAATTCTGTTCTTCTTGTCTCTTGTTTGTTATAGTGTTCTGTTCTGTTCTGTTCAGACAACCATTTACCATGCAATGGGTGCGGTGGATTTGGTTGCTCTCTCCTAGCGGCAATCTCAAGAGGAAATATTGAAGGAGAAAAGAGTATGAAATGGAGTAAGCAGAGAACTAAAATAATGGAATTAAGTCGATAAAGAAAGTTTGTGGATGCAAGAGCGCCACTGGTCGCGGCATCTAGCCATATCCCCCAACGTATCTAACCATTGAGTGGGAGGGTCTCTTGGATCCCACCCAGGAAGTCTAACACGCTGTACGTGGCAGAGTCCACTAGTTAGGCTTTTCATACCTTTCTTCCATGTCATGGACTAACCACCCTTACTCATCTTCCAACCGGTACCCACCGCAGCGAACATGGCTCGCCCAGGAATCCTGTCGGGAAGCATGCGCAACACATATCCCAACCATCTTAGCCTGGTGAGCTTAAGTGTTTCATCTAATGATTTGATTTATGAACCTAAGAATTTCGACCAAACCTTAGCTTTGCTCAGACAGTGTTCCCACCAGATTCGAGCAATACTACAAATACATCGATGTTCAAATACCGACAATCTTCGTATGTCCTCCACCCGCAGTGGCCATATCTCTGAAACATATAGCAGCACGGGCTTGATTGCTGCAGCTTACACTCGACCCTTGATAGGTAAATCGATGCCATGTCAACGCCACAGATGACTCAGGTTGACAAATGCCAAACGAGCCTTCCGTATACGCAGAGACACCTGATCCGATATCCGACATCCGGGTGAGATGCAGCTCCCCAGGTAACGGAATTTGTCTACCACGTTTATTGTCTCTCCAAGCCGTCTGAAGTGGATACAAGATAGACTCGGTATTAGTATTTGGCATATGAATACTTGGTCAACGCTTCGCATGTGGTCCAATCTGCGCGCAGGCACACCAAGAGGCAGACACCAGTTGTTAGCGTATAATCGGAAATGAAGTGAGTAACCATCGATAAAGGCACATCTGGTGAGGGTGCGTGAAATATAAGCGGCGGTACACCTAGCTGGGTGTGTGCACTCATATGGGAAAAGCATCAAAACACCTGGTTTGGTGGGCATGGCAGCGTTTGGAACATGATTAAAAAAGTACGGGTGTGCAATTATCCGACCTCACTGGCAGGTAATCTGGTCACTGTAGCCCTTCCGTTTTCCGGGGAAAAAGTTTATTCTATCCCGAATATTGCACTTTGATGACAAAAGTTATCTGGGAAGATACACCCGATTACACACGATCACGGTAGACTGTGCTATTTTTCACAACGCAAATTTCAGGCAGATGTATTATGGAGTCAATGAAAAGTGCTAAGGTTAGTACTGTTTTCGGATTTTTCACCTAAAGCTCATATTTGATTATAACCGAGGTCGATCAATGGATACTAATATGGTGCATCGCATATATTTTATGCACTTTTTCACTGGCCAGGTAAAAACCCAGTCAGTCACAAAAATTACTCTGAACACAATGATTGTATTAGGTGTGAAAAAAACCTTTTCGGGAACTGGTATGGTTTCACGCCAAGCCTTGTACCATATGGGTGAAATATTGATCAGTGTAGACCAGTTATACTATTGTTATGATAAAGAGTAGACAACACAGAAGCACAAGAACAACCACAGCTATTTGATACAAGACATACAGAAAAGGCACAGATCACGAGATACAACGAACCACTATGCTTCGTGATAAAATTCGCGGTGGCATAAGGTTTGAGTTTCAAATCCTAATACAGTACGATGCGGACGAATGGTCCCAGTTGACCCGTTGGCTGTAAAGGAAAAGAACACGAACAGTTCTGTACTCGTTAGAGTTGAACGAGACAACCGAAAATAGGACATATGCACAGACTGTTTTCCCGTTCATATATTCTGTTGGGGGTCAGATACTAGTGACCTTGAAAAACTGACAAAACGGGTAAACATTGGTAAGTGAACACTACGTCGTGAATGCCTGGTGACAAACGAAAAGTTAAAAGAAGAAAAATTAATTTATAAAAATGACATTTTCTCCCAAACTGCCATCCCAAACTAGGAGAGACTCGTCTTCTCCTCCAACACCTTGATCAGATTAGTCTCGTTTGGTGGTGAAAATATCAAGCGAGATGCATCACCGTGTTTGCAGGGAATGCATTTGTATTTTGTCAGCCTCTGCATATAACATCAACATATTATCCACTTGTCATTAGTGAACCGGATGTGCACGGCAGACTACAAGTCTCTGAAAATCGATTGTTACAAGTAGAAGATTTACGAAGAGTATCTTTGTTCAGTCTTTAATATCGCCAACATATTGTCAAGATGTAATAAAGCAAAACTCTACGTCAGTTGGAGATATCTGATAACATGACCGTCAATGGAATCTATTTTACCGTCTACTTCGTTTTCTCGTCTCATTGGATTTTTACGCTCCGACTTATGCCGCATGCGAGTGTCTTAGTTTGAGAAATGACCCTCGTATGGGAGGTTTTGTGATTAATACGACTAAATAGTAGGACAGAAGAGAAATTATTATTTAGTAGTAATGGTAATTGTTTGAGGAATGTTGTAATTTCACCACGGAGTTTCAATTTTGCTATTAATTAAAGCATTAGCGTGACTTCCTGGTTGACCTAATTCTCCACTTTTCAGGTAATGTATGGTGGACGTACCATAGATAATTACGATCGACGCGTACTTACCACCTATATGGATGAATATTTTGGCGATTTTCTGTTTGACACCTTCCAACCGTTCCGATTTTATCGAGACGAGAAAGTGGAATACTTTATCCCCGAAGAACCGACTGGGTTTGCGAATTATAAAGATCTTTACATGGGTAAGCCATTTTCCTAGAAGATGTGACTCTTGCTTAGTTATTTATTTGAATGAACAAAAAAGCAAATACTAATACTAGTACTGATAATAATAATAGCAGTAATGGTAACAGTAGTGATGGATCAGTAAATCATATATGCTTTGGGATTTTTTGGGTTAGAGTGAACCATTAATTTGATAATGAGTAGTATTTGATGCGAGGTTTGGTTACTCGAGACAACCGCTTGAAGGAAATTCTAACCAACGATATTGATGTTTGTGCGTTGCAATACCATACGTCTGTTTATTCTGGTCAGGTGATACATAATTGCACACGAGATCTCGTCAAAGTGTGATTCGACCAACGCAAATAGCAGAGGTGGGGAATGAGTACCGAGTTTTGGAAATCTTATTTCAATCGAAAATACCGAACAACAAACGTTTGCCTATGAAAAATATCAAAATTAGGATAGCAAGTCCCAAGGCAGTGAACACAAGCTCGCTTTATTATATATACTTTAGGATAAATTATCGAAGGATATCAGTAGCGTACCTCAGATTAGGGGCAAATCGACCACAGAATCAAAACAGTCATCTAAGGTTTCACAATACCCAGGCAACAATGGAAAGGAGACGCTCGAGGCGGTACTGCGCGAGGTAGTCCGGTGGCTCACAAGGGAATTCGTTATTTATGGGAAGCATTTTGACCAATGAACTGTCAGAAGAGTAGTGACTGCCTGAGGGAACACACATACACAAACGTGGTGAAGGTCAGACGGGATAGCATGGCTATGAAAAAATGGCATGATCATGGCGGGATGGTCGAGGTTCAGTCATTCACACAGACAAGGCAAAGGAAGAGAGAATTATTTACGTCAAGTGACCCAGACAATCATAGCATCATAACAAAATGGGTCCTGGATACCCGGGGATCAGTGCACATGGACACATCTGGGGAGAAGGGTTATTTTAGGGATAAAACCCGTTACGAATCAGGGTTCGATACGAACAGATAGGGCCAACAATTGGACCCCAGATAGATACCGGTTAAGTTCAACCAACACTTGTCACCGAAACAAGGCTAAAATTGGGTGATGCAATGAGAGTGGACAAACATTTATCACGCGGGTGTGGAGGAGAGGGTGTGGTAGTCGGCACGGCAACTAGTGGCCTAAGCGCGTGAAAAACAAACAAATACACTATTAAAAATGGTGATGGATAACATAGGATCTCGACTAAACCAGTTTAAAGGAGTTTCTTGATACGGCGAGCTGAATTTCCATATCCAGCTTTATTAAATCATTGCAAGGACGAAACACTAACTTCATACAAGAAGGAGTTGGAATTATCCTCATAGCTGGCAAATGAACTGTGTCAGTAATTTCTGTGCACAGTGAACGAGGTTACGTAGTCCGATTTGCATAACCTCACTGACACTAATAGCTTCGAATCAGGATTACGTAACAACGGTTCGAAAGACGATGTCGGGTTAACTTTGCATTCGGTTGTCATCAGATGCTTCGCTATAGATGGCCCTTGATTTCGGTCAGGATATGTTCTCCGTGGTCTATTTTATCAGTCACTTTGGAATATGTTCTGACATACTTTGTGATAGTTGTCGGTTGTTTCTGCTGATGTAAGTGTCACCGCAACTACAATCGAATTGATACACAGCATTTGGAGCAGAATCCAACGGTGGAATAGGTTCACGGCTGTCCGGACAAATCTGTCGAGTAGTTGATAGAGTGAGCAGTTGTGCCGCTTGGAATGTGCGCCTCATGGCTGCATTGAGCTGGTGACGCAAATAATTACGTGGTCACCCTTAAAGGCTAGTCTAATCTAAGCAGCTTCCATCGGTGCTTTGTGAACCGAGTCATCCTTTGGTCTCTGTTGTCCGTGAATACCTGTGAATTTCGCTGGGTACGCATTGAGCATGAGTGTTGTGCGAAGAAAGCTTTCGCCTTCTCCGAAGACATCGGTTGATCAGATGGCTTTGGCAGGACAGCAAAGAGTTCCTACTAGTTCACTTTTGTGCAAACTTTGAGAAATGCAGGTATTGACCCCTCCATGTAGCTCCTATGGGGACAGAGCACTGGACCATCCTATTTGGTCGCCGTAGTTTTGATGTCTAAAAACTTCTCTCGATAAGAAACACTTTTTGGGGGATGGAATTAAACGTATGCAAGACAATGGTAAAATGACTAAGGTTGGGGAATTGATATCGTAAAGAACCAGACCGCTGAATGGTACCTGCCGTTCTGTTCAGTTCAAGCAGTACTATGCACAAAAAGACGTGGGCTCGTGCGTACATGCACACTGCGGACCATCGATCAATATCCCCTACATACATGAACATACACCTGCAGTTGCACACACACACACACACACACACACACACACACACACACACACGGTGTTGATAGTGGTTATGCTTCAGCCTGAGCAGTGTTGACTGGTCAGATCTCACTGTGTATCGATCAGCCTGTGTCGAATGGTCGCGCGCGTGTAACTCTGACTCAATAGCCTGCTCAGTTACTTGCCTGCTCACTTAACTTGCTTGCTCCCCGACCTACCAACTGCCTACATATGTACTTGATTGTCAATAAACGTACTTTTTACGTTACCAGTATGATTACCTACCTGAGATAGAACACCCAATGGGCTAACAACGTTAACAAAATTAAGCTGTTGTTCATCTTTAAAACTACAACCAATTTTCCAGATTTTTACTCTTTTATACAGAATATGTGGGTCATCTGCCCGGAAGTCACAAACCCGAGGTGCTCGGCTTGCATCCGAATGCCGCAATCGGTTACTCCGTTCGATTTGCTCGTAATCTTTGGTCTAGTCTGCTTATGTTATTACCAGAGACAGAGGCTGTCGGTGGCATACCGTCGGCCCAACGTATGAGTCAAGTGGCATCCATCACAAATCCTCAGGATAATGGCGGTGAACAGCCAGGCTCTTCCACGTTACCTGACAACCAAACGCATCAGCTCAGTGGTCGATCTCAACCGGATCACAGTGATGGCCTTGCGGCTGGCACGACCAGTCAAGATGGAGTAGCATCTTCGATTGATATGGATCACGCGGGCGGAACTGGAGCAGCAAGTGGCACGTCGGATGCAATGCCAGTTGATCAGTCCAGCGGTCACGCTCCGGAAAGTGTCGATGCAGGCAGTGCAAGCGAAGATGATGAGGACGATAATGGAGAAGGTCACGAAAGTGACGAAGAGATGAGTGAATTAGGAGGTCGTCGTCATACGTCAGCCTCAATTTCAACCACAGCTCGGTCTTCCATGTTGTCGATTACTGAAGCATCGGGCGGAACTGGAGGTGTGGCTGGTGGTGCTGCGACTTCTACAGGTCGGGAGGTGATGATTGGTCGCATGGCGGACAGTTTGCTAAACCGTTTACCACCTCTGTTCGATGTGGATGGACTGCGAAAGAAACATATGGGAACAGAGGTATCGCCAACAATTGTTGTCCTGATGCAGGAACTAGATAGGTAGGATGGTTATCCACTTTTAAGATTTCCTTCTCGTTCAGATTCCTGTAGATATCACGCTTGGCTGTTACTTGATCACCGATATCATTCCCATGAGCTCAACAAGAACGTTGGATTACACTTTACTGTCGTTGAGGCAGAAAATTTGTGTATGGGCATTGTTTGAACCCCGAAATACCAGTGCCTGAAATGAAAAAAATGCAAGCGGTAGTATATAACAGTCTGCCGCACAAAAGCAGAATTTTTCGAGTGATATAACAGCTAGAGCTGATTAAATTTTTTGACTGGTCAAAAAATACCATTTAAGTGAGACTAATGTAAGTCATCTGTCTATGAGTACTGGTATGAACATGCGTCTATATCTTCGCGATTGGAAAAGTGCTTGATCGGCTCGTGACAAGTTTACTGCGTTCAATAATTATGAATCCATTCTGAGTCATTTGAGTTAGTTCCCGCTACTGGACTTGTTCTTGGTTATCATTTGCACTAAATAAACGATTTGTTTTGAGGCCACTTTAGGTTCAGTGTGCGGAGAAGACGTGTTTTGTTTACACAGGTCGGGATGATCGATTCGTTCGGCTACAACACCCAGCAGTCCCCTGGTCGACGATAGGCAAGTCATGTGTTCAGCAGAAACGGTAACCATGTGAATCAACCACTTTAAACTGTTGAAATGAATGATGTTGGTAGGAAAACCTCTACAGAGTCATTCTGACACTGGTTTTATCGACCATGGTTTTGGTAAACGTAATCTTTAGTCCCGAGACGAATTTGTAACACAGTTGCTATATTCTTTCCACCATGTTAGTCGTTTATAATAACGTACGCGATGGTTGTATGCGTACGGCTGGGCTACGTCGGTTAACTTGTCAACTACCTGCATGGAACTCATTGCTATTACATCCATTATCATTGTCGTTTTCCTCTCAGTCATCTCTGATGAGATACATCAAATTTTTTTCCGGATATAAAGTGAACAACATCATGCCGCTATATATTCCCTTGTTGTTTAAATCGAGAATCGGTTGTTTTAACTCCCTCTAGATTTTCAAAGCCACCAGCCAATGTAATGTGAAATGCAGCCAAGAGATCAATAGGAAAAAAATCTTTAAATGGATTGTAGTTAAATGGACGAGCATAGACCAGTCCTGATGACAACACCGTAAACCGCTCGGTCACCCGAAAACGGTCAAAAGCGATAACAGGATTAGATAATTGGATCATATGATTGCAACTGACCACCTTGTCCAGGACGTGGTTCCAGCAAGGTGGGGCATCGCCACATTACTCCACTCCTGCAACTGACTGGATCGGAGGGAAGGGACCAAATTTAATACCACTGGACTTCTTCCTTTGAAGGTATGTAAAGAGGAAAGTACACTACCCCAGACCGGCACTATTGGGAGATTTGAAGGCCAGGATAGATAGTATATACAACGATAAACCCGGTTCCATGATGAACACAGTCTACATCGTTTAACGAATGCAAGCCTTCATGACAAACGATGGTGGTATTTTTGAACATAAATTGTTAGAGGATTTCGGATCCGATCGGCATCAGAGTCAGAGGATGAAACAGGGTTCCTTTTCTACATTTTGTAATCCTTTTTCAGTGTCATTGTGATGGCGCCATGCTTGTTTTCAAGCCGATGGCTGGACTGCTTTTTGGTTCAATCGCTTGCTGTGAGCCAGTTGATCTCCCATATATATATATATATATATATATATATATATATATATATATAATGGCTGTTATTTGCCTGGTCCCATTGGTTTCCACATTGATAAGTGAGAATCTGCTATGATTGATTTAACTGTACAGTGTGAAATAAATCTTGGCCTGGAAAGTACCTCTGGAGTATCAGCTTTAATACTTGTCTGGACGAGAACCACTAGGTGTTAGTAAACAATGTACCCATCGAGTGGAGTGAGCATGCATAATTTAGTTTATCTTGGTGCTTCCATCCTGGTCACCTCGTAACACGACTGTCCCCAGTGTGATGCATCTCAATTCCCTCCATTTACCCCTGGGAGTAATATGACTATACGCTGTAACCAGCTACACTTGATCTTCCATCTTTCCACTAGGCCTTGAATATAATCGTGCTTGGAACCAGTCTAATCCGGGGCCTTGGGTTCTTTCAACTTCCAGTGTCAAGGGATTTATTTAGTTACAAAAGCCCATGGGATACATAGAATTTATCACGCAAGTTATCAAAAGTCAGTTATGTTGATCCAAAAAGAATCAGTCAGTTAGACGCCAGTGTTCAAAATTATGAGAAGTATTCTAGTTTATGTCTGCAGTGTAAGAAAGAACCACAGTGAATTACCATACAATGGAGTACGCAGAAGTTGGGATCGTTTAGGTAGCCCTTCAGATGACGCCAAAAAGTCGTCCTGTCTTGCCTCTGGCGCACATGACAAATGCGTTCTCTATTGCACTCAATTTCGATCGAAGTGGTTCAGTCTGGTGTGAGTTATAAAACAAATGCCCACGAAATGAACAGGGCAAGATGGACACAACGCAGTTCCCAGCTGCCTCCATGTAAAGTATCAATTCTTCATCACCAGTTTGCCTACTGAACTGTATTAAAGTAGTCAGTGTGGTAAATCGATCCCCGTAGGGTGAGAACACCGTAAGTTTGCAAGTTCTTTTCAAGCCTATGCATTGCATTTCCAAACAACACAGTTGATAGTCCGGGATCTCCAAAGTATAGTTTAGCAGTGTGGGATTAGAAGTAGCCCAAATTAAAGTTGGACATCCTGAGATAGATCCAGATTTTTATTTGCACTGCAGCGTGTTTGGCTGAGACTAAAAATCTACGATTACTTATAGATACTGAATCTATCCTCAGTAGCCAGTTGTTTGAAACACTTGACTGAGTAAAAAATCCTCTGGTACACTGCCATTCTCTCTTTGGTTGATATCCTTATTGATACAGTATTATGGCACTTCAGTCGAGTTTCAACCCAAGTGTTTACTGCAAATATTACCGCGATCCAAGGCTTTCTGGGACTTCACACGAAAACCGTATTTAAGACTCCGAATTCTCAACATTCTTCTATCAATACCAAACAGCCGTTAAAATGAGCATCCATTACCATTCTCATCCAAACGGACAACTATTTGACTCATTTTTGAAATTTTTTGATGTTCTGAGAACTACCGTGGAAATTGGGAAATGTGGAACCGTGTTATTAGGTCAGCTCAACTCAGCTCAGTTCAGCTCAGTTCAGTTCAGTTCAGTTCAGTTCAGTTTGTTTCGAACAGCCAGTAACCATGCCTTGAGCGCGGTGTTTCTGGTTGCTGTCTCTCGGCCAAAGATCAAGCCAATGAAGGGCATAGAAAAATAAAAGATAACGACTAATACTAATATCATTTAAATGAACGAAGTTCATGAGTTCAAGAGGCGACCACTCCATGACAAGCGAATATTCGAAAACGTTGGCCATTCGACCTCGCCGAGTGGGAGGTCTCAAGCGCGTGGTCCACGATATCCGCCCACTGGGTAGCTTGAAACGCTAAGTGGCATGTCTAGGTGCGACGGTAAGTGGTGTGGTTAAATTTGAACCCTCTCATCGGCTCCATGATTTCAGTTTGTAACTTTCTTCTCTTTTTCTGCTTCTAATGCTTCTATCCTTTTTTACTCTTAACTCACCGAGGCTGAAAGATAGCCAAAGCCGGAGCACAGAAGTGCGGGGCTCATATTTGAAAGTATTGAACTAAACAGTGTCCACTCGTCGTGAAACCTAGCCGTATTTACCGATATATCCAATCACTGAGTGCGTGTATCTCTTGAACCAAACCCAGGAAGTGTAACACGCCCTACTTGGTCAAGTCCATTAGTTAGGCTTTTCATCCGTTTATTCCTTGATATGGATTGGCTGTTCGTTTTCCTCATCTTCTAACTTTGAACGTCGTACTTCGAGGAATCCTGCCTCGGAATACACTCAACTCAGCACTATATGGACTATATGGACACTGCAAAACTGCACAAAAAAGCCCACAGATTAGATAACTATCCTCTCAGCCACCAAATGTCTTCTGATGATCGCAAATTAAACAGTATCCTGCTTGTTGGTTTGAAAAACTACGAGTTTGGCCAAACCTTGCTTACCATGGCGCTGATTAGGTAACAAATTATATTCCATTGGGAATTGACCGATATATTCCTTTAGAAAACGGTATGTTTGCCGCATACCATTTTATAAAACTTTGATCATGGGAGTTTTTCACGATATACATTTTTACTCCGGTTGTAACGTGTACATTACCGATATTTCCTCTTCAGATTTAACTTAATTTTGGGTAAAATTAACAGTTCATTAAATGATTTGAAAAAAGCGCTGGCTGGGAAAATCGGCATGTCCGAGGAGCTGGATGACATATCGCGTTGTCTATCCAATGGCCTGCTGCCAGCCAGTTGGCGTCGTCTTGTACCTCAAACGGAGAAATCCTTACCGGATTGGATTCAACATTTGTTACGCCGGGCTGACCAGTACAAAAAATGGGTAAATCGTAGCTTAGTGATTAAATTTTCATTCATCGTAGACCAATTCCTTCCCACTTGATTTTTTTCCGCCCTCGCATAATAAACACAACCCCAAATACGAGCAGTCCTTATTTCGTTCAACCGCATTTTCCATCCTGTTTGACCGCATCATTCGTTGTTTTATTGCAACGCTCCCAGTTTTTGTGATTTTGATGGTACCAGTCAGGTGCTGACAAACCGCTTTGCTCGTTTGGAAGATAACACACCTCTAGACCTTGTCTCGGGCTGGGCGACAATCGTTTACCACGTGACCCACCATGGGTTCGCTGATTTGCCAGCTGGGGCATGGTGCCCTTCAGTACTGCTTCAGCCAATACTCCACGATCATTCATGTACAACCAATCGTGAAAAACCTCGCTCTGCAGCGGGCACATACTGCATTATTCGTTTTCATACGGAGAAATGAATACCTTCAAAAGACAAAAAATAACAGAACAGCAATATATATATATATATATATATATATATATATATATATATATATATAATAAAAATTTGAAGGGAAGTGGGACAGTCTACAGTCCAACACACTATGTGTAGTTTGGAGTGATGTTAACCGTAGCTGGTTGGATTGGCTTGCTGGTGGTTTACTGTGGATGACTTACGCAGTGCATGGAGTTTCATGAGATCCACCTACTGAGGGGTCAATAAATGACGGGTAGTCTTGTCTCGTGGTTTCCTGGTTTCATTTTAACATGAAAAACGATCTTCAATTTTATTCATCTCTGTCCTGCTTTCGGTCTCGTTTTCAACGAACATAACCACTTCCGACTGGTCCGTCTATGGTTATATGAAAAATAAGACTAACTATGCGGAGAGTAAACCCTTTGGTCCAGCGTGCTGAACGTAAGAACATCATCCAGTGAAATGAACAGTTTACTGATTTCGCTGTTCCTCAGAGATTTGTTGTAAGTAAGTGGAAATATATAGTCACTTGGTTTCAGTGCTCATGGGTTCCAGAACAAGGCGAAGATTTGATCAGTTAAGTTGAAAAAGGTTTTGAAAAGGCTTGAAAAGAATCTCCACATGTGTGTATTGTGTTGTGAGGACCTAAACACAATTTTCCATCGTAAATCTACTATCGCAAGTATCCCAGTGAGATAGATAATGCACAACTTCACGCTGAAATTCAACATGATTCAATAATAGTACACTCTGATAGACTGGCGATTTCGTTGGGCTAACAGAAAGTCTGATTCAGCGGTGGATAACTTCTATGGGACAAACTGATGCGGTTATTGATGTCAAGCCAGCGTGGAAATGGGTCTTGGATTGCTTGCTAGACATTTTTGAATGCACGTTCGTTGTCTGAAACAAACTGTGAGACACTTCCTAATAGTTTATTCCATCGCGGAGTAATATATCTATCTTCTGTGCATCTGGCCTTTATGGGTCCATGAAGCTAAAATTGCAGAACCATACTTTACTTTAGTAGCACACAGTTGCGCTAGAATTCATTCTTAAGATTGCATCATCTCGTGTTCATCTTCACGGAATATAAGCTCTCTCTCCCCTGTCGTGTGTCTGATAAGTAATGTCAAACCGCTGCAATTTTTATTACATGACCACGGTAACTGGTGCACTAGCGCATCAAACAAATTTCACATTATTATGGAGGAAAACCTCTCAGATCCTACTAAACACAACGTTCCCAGTCGGTTTCTTAACTTTAGGGCTAGTGCCATCATCATTCTCTGTCATCTCCTGTTCCTCCAATGCATTCGAATTGTTTACGGCTGTCTATATTCGCTTTCGTCTGCAGATGGCCACAGGGAAAAGCGAACCCGCTGTTATGTGGCTTTCCGGTCTACATTTGCCACAATCCTATCTGACTGCGTTGATTCAAAAGGCTTGTCGAAAACACGGCTGGGCATTGGACAAATGTGCTCTGCAAACCGCAGTCACCGAGATTGCTCCCGAGGAGGTTCACACGGTGTTGATGGCACCGGAATTGGGCTGTCATGTGAGTGGGCTATATCTGGAGGGCTCAGCTTGGAGCATTGAGGTACGTTGCTGACACACACGCGTGGCAGGTGACATTAGGCTATGTGGCTAGGTGTCGCGGCCAGCGGTGTATTAACATTCGGTCTCTTTCTTTTTACCCGTGATTCTCACTTTTTGCCTTGTTTTCGGTTATTTTTTACTTTATGTTTCTGTTCTCTCTGCCCTCAAATGGACGACTGTGGGAGGTAGTGATGAAAATCAGAGCACACAGGTGTGAGGTTAATGGTTGAACGGAAGTAAACTGAACTGGTTGTTTTGAACAGAAGTTGGGTCCATTTAAACCGTAAACTACTTAGTTTTATTAATATGAGAAGTCAGATTTGTTTACCTATCACAAAATGTTCATATTGGGACTGAGTATTTGAGAATATTTGTACATATTTTCACACGCGCCTGATTTCAGGATGTGTGACAAACAAAACAATGTACAATCAAGGAGGAATAAGAGTGAAGTCCAATCATTGGTCTGCGGCAAAACCGCAATTAGCTTGTGGATACCATACTCAATACCTAAACCGGAATTAGTTTTGTAGTATAGAGTCCACGCTATTGGGTTTGCGAGTCGCCCGTGGTCGTCCAACCTTGAGGGTTGATAGGCCCGCCTCACAATGTTCACACTCCTTTCTTCGATCTTGGGTCATATCATTCAGCTTATCTAACCAGTGGAAATTCATATTTCCTGTGTTGGACATGGAAGTCTGGAAGCTACAGCAGAGAATGGCGCCGATGTTAGCATCTTCAAAACTCCTTAAGTCATGGGCTGTCTATCTCATTGGCTCTTCCAGCCTTGGTCAAAGCGTGCAAATAGAGTACGGAGAATACATGGTGAATGGCCACCTGTAAGACGTGTCCCAGCCACCGGAACCCCGGAGCACAATGGTTATTACTATTAAAAAAATTTCATTTACGCCCAAAAGTGTACGAACCTGGAAATCTCTCACTCAGTATTTTAACCGATTTTATAAAATGAGAATTTGGGGCCATTTCGCACAGCTTTTGAAGTGCAATAGGTGAATAACAATAATCTTACAGGCTCAATTTCCACTTGTGCGGTCCCTTCTGAGCGGCCCGTTCCATTCTTCACTGACCTTTCCGATTTTTCAAGAGTCAATAATTAGGATAACTTTAGCGATAAATTCCGATCGCGACTGGTTTGAATGACCTCTCTTCGAAAATTTGTCGTCTGTGTAGTAACTGGTTTGCACAGTCACGTCTACTAATCTTTGTACTCAAATTCACCGAATTTGGTGATCTCATTACCTTTAATTGCAGAACAGAGAACTACTAGTAGATTTTCCCGAAGTGCTTCTGTGATCTTTATTTTTTGTCGGGGTAATGAAATGCCCGTCTACTTTGTCTGCGTAATGACAGACCACTGTTTGCATCTGCCGACGTGATTCGCTAGTCAAACAGCCTTTCTTTACACCGTACTCAATTGGGGGAGGCGATTTCTTAGGTTTTGGTATTGTTGTCACTTAAATTTAGTCGCTTCTGCAAACGTCTGAAGGGTACCGGTTTTAGTTACCTGCCAGTGCACTATCGAACCATAGACCAGACGCACCTCCCCTTGGGTGCCATTGGTTCGATAAAAGTGAGAATGTGAACCGCGTGAATCACGCCAATTGGATGAGTGAGTTTGCGCGCAACCTGTATCTTGTGTTGAGTTTATTCCGATTTGATGTTTTTGGTCCAGGCAAGGACTTAAAGAAATATATGAGAACATCAAAAACACCTTTGAGAACCCGATATATTAACTATAAAAGGTCAGTACATTACCCTGGCACTGATATTTCTAGATGTAAATGGAGCTTGATTGCTTTGAGATGTAGCGCTTCAATAGAACTCCCGTCTGGGATCATGATTGAACACAACCTAATGTGGACATCACAGTATGTCCCACAGGTCAATGTAGACCCAAGTTGGTTGATAGCACACCAAGTGTAGTACAGTAAACCTAAATAAATTTAGTAGTCATTTTGGGCTGATACTTTTGGAGTATATAACAACGCGTTGTTTTTTTTTGATGCACTTTACCAATTCAGTATTGTAGATGAATAGAGCTGAACTAAACTGTCCACAATTATCTCATTTATGCTTCAGGAGACTTCATTGGAAAGCCACAACGAGGATTCGATGCTAGTTGGGTGCACGTTAGTCACAGTTAACCTCAGGAACAATGACACTGCGGTCGGTAGTTGAAATATTGAACATCTGTAGTTTGTCGTCAGGGGAACAACGTTTCCTAGAGCGCCGGATACGCATATCCTATAAGCGGCCATAACCACGAAATCGGTCGTGCGCCACCGAGAATGTTTGTCCACTCATCTATATAGTACTTACTTGCAACTAAAGTGTTTTGAATTCTTCGTATTTCACGGCAATTGTTAGCGTGAATACAGACTTTCATCTATAATTTGAACGTCTTATCTATATTATGTGCTGCATCTGTGTATGTTTTTCCCTTTATTTAATCCACTAATTCAGAATGGATGTCTGGTACGTCAGAATCCACGCATGTTGATGCAAGAAATGCCAGTGGTACGTCTCACTCCGATTGAAAGGCACCGACTAAAATTGACTGGCACCGTGCCAGTCCCCGTATACATCACAAGTCTACGACGAAATGCTATGGGTGAGGGATTTGTGACTGTGTTGGACTTACCCACGACGGAGCATCCGTCTCATTGGATCCTTCAAGGAGTGGCAATCCTACTCAACACGGACTAACTGCTGCGGGAAATCAGTTCCATATTATTTCATTAGCAAGAATGAAAACAACACGTTCAGTCTGTTGATTTTAAGAACAGTACTAATCTACTGAAAGTGTTTATGTTCAGTTTCTGAAACGGCTTCAGAACAGGTTGTCTAGGAGATCATTAGGGTATTTTTTAATATCCTTGTCTGCTTGTCCGTTCTACTTTTTCCAGTGTTTCTCTGACGTAACGACAGTCAAACGTCGTGAATGCGAATTCTCTTGATGACTCGTGATGGGGGTGCATCGGGATGCAGTGAAATGATCAAATACAAAACTGAATTCTGGTGTTTGGTTTCGTATCGGTTGTGTTTTGGGTTTGGGTCACGGCGAAACAGTTCATCCAGTAGGCTCTATGTGATGCATAGTTATGGCGGCCAAAACTATTCAAACCTCTCATGATATCAGCTTAATGCAATCATCCTAAATTCAGTGCGATGGATGAAATCGTTTCGCCTCAGAATGGTTGTGATACACTGATTGGTTTTGTCGATGATGAATAAAAAACGCCCATTTAGATCATGTGGATTTTAGCTTTCCAAATGATCAGGGGTTTAACAGCTATTTTATTATGAGCAACTATCGAATTTATGCATCGATAGTGTAAGTGGACGCTTCCCTTAGAACAATTCACCGCTGCGACCAACCAATGAAGAACCATCAGCGAATCCAAGTTGTGATCCCTCAGTCGAGTCTTCTAAGCGGAGAACCCATTCGCGCTCCTGGTGCCCAAATAAGATTGTTGTGAGCAGGCACATTTAGAGTGTAGAGATATCAGAATGAATTGACAAAGGAGTGCCAGCTACGCATGTCTAATGAGCGGCAGTAATCGCGGAACCGGCTGTGCGCTTCCGAGAAACTTCGTCTATCCATAAATGGACACTGCATTAAAATATTTTATTGTAGATTTATGAAAACTAGTTGATTAGGCCGAAAACTCAGAAGTACACATGAGTAGGCACAAAACAGTGAGGTCAAGTGGAGCTCGTCTGGTGGTGGTATTGGAGTGATTGACCGGGCGGTTTATAGCGATGGGACAGCAGTAGTGAAGTGGATGGAAATTAGTTAGAGTCCGCTTTTACAGTGTTACACGCATACACTAGTGAAATGCACTGAAAAAGTTGGGTCATGGCGAGCAGTTAAATCAAGCCAAGTCAAATACATTGTATTTGTCTGAAAGGAGCAAATTTTCAGTTAGAAGTTATCAGTTAAATGTTTTGAAAATGGAGATAAATACGTGATACACAAAAAATAGTGATGATTGGATTGTGCTGATCAGCACGCTGTGTTCGTCAATGAAGAACTTGATGGTAAATGGACAAACATGATTAAGTAAGCTTTTCTTGCAAATCGTTCATAACGTGTTCTTTCGAAACAAGAAACCTTGCTAGATATGGAGTGATCTAGTTATGAGACGTTATAGTTCTGGAATATATCAATTTAAATTTGCTACGTGTAGCGAAATGGGAATCACTGCGAGTTAGAGATGAATGTAGCAGGTGTGTCATTAGAAAGTGTAGTGCGGCAGAACCGTTCAAATGCAGAAAAATGGATTTTTTCCACGAAATTCAATACCTCAATTTAGGATATTACTGCACTTAGAAATGCATTTATGGAGGCGCTTGATCAACACAAAGTCTTTGACAAGCAAACCACGGAAAATGATAGGGGAGCAGTGTGCGGGAATGGGCACGGCATATTGCCAATAGACAGCCTGGTTCATTGGCCAGGCATCATGTCATAGTCCATACAGAATCAAGCACATGGTCGGAGGCAGTGAAGCAGACAGCAAGTGATCGACTGACCAGAATCGCCGATAAGCATGGAGCCAATCAGCGGGTAGTATTCGTCTAAACCAACCAGAGCTGAATCAACCGATCCGGGGGCAACCATAAAAAACCAACCGGATGTACCGTTTAGATCTGTCGGTAGGCCAAAAAACTTTTATACAAGTTTTTGGTTATGATAAACACATATCTTATTGAAACGATATAGTTTGTACCAATAAATTGAGATTGTTCGAAGGTAGAATAGTCTTCTTACTAAAGCTACCGAGAAGGACCAAAGCAAGTAGTATTACCAGTGACACAACACTCAAGAACGAATACACTTAGAAATGATTTGGGTAGGTACACGTAGAGACCTCAGACGAGAGATGTAAAATGTCAGCCTTCTTACCTTGAAAAGTATCCTGTACATGATGCGTCCACTTGAGATCAGATGAGATAAGTATACCAAGATAGTTATAGAACTGGACTAGTTCCACTTGTGAACCTTCTATCATGAGGGTTTGATAATCTGATTGCAACGGGGATTTACGATCAAGCCAGAAGAGTATTTTTGCACACCTGTTTGGATTAAGTGCTAACTCGAAGGCACTAGACCATTCCGTCATCTCATAAATAGGCTGCCATGGTGGATTGATATTAAAACTGTTCCGGGATTCAGAACTGACCATAAAATCGTCCGCGCATTCGAAAGTAAAGGATGACAAAGTGGAGGGAAGGTCTTACATGTAGCAAGTGAGCAAAAATGGAGATAGGATAGTAGCACTTTGCAATGCTCCATTGTTAATAAGGATTGCGGAGGATCTATGACCGTTAAGGTAGGTGAACTGGGACTGGTTCGCGAAATAATCTCTGAACCAATTGGGGAGCAGTGGAAATTTCCCTTACTGATCTAAAAGAGATGATAAACGTTCTCTACTGAACGAAATGAAAGCATTTGTATAGTCCAAGAAACAAACATAATCCAGTTTGCTTTTCTGGTCCATCAATGACATCAGTGAATTGACAAGACAGCTGAGGGCATCCAAAGTAAAACGCCGAGGATTCCCTAGATCGAGCAGGGTTCCAGGTTATTTGTGTAGTAAATTGATTGAATTACTTTATGGTACAAAAGACCTGTCAAATTTTTCGACGTTATGCGTTATGCAATACGCTTGAGACGCGTGCCCGTAAAACATTTTCAGTCCACTCCATAACTGCCGCGAAGAGTTGTCCTTGAGTATGGTACTCACGTATAGTCCGTCAAGATGAACAATTTCTTCTTTGATGTACAGATTTACCAGTATTACTGCAGACTATTTGTGCGGACGATATACTCTTTCTTACATCCTCCGCATTGTTTTTAGCTTCTCCGAATCAAAACTATCTCCATGGATCATAATCCTTGTTCGTGGACAATATGTTTCGTAACAGAAATTTAAACCACTTCGGTAAGTGAATGTTGAGCTCGTCATGCTGCCTGTGAATGTTCCTTCCGGACTGGGTTCTCCATTAGGCTTTGGAGATTTCGTTTACTAAAATTTCTAAATAGAACTTTGACGATACAGTGGCCGGAGTTTCCTCCGGGGACGTGCCTCACAGCATGAAAGAAGGATGACTCATTCACGAAGGAGTAGTCTAAACAGGCACCATCTCTGGTCGGGAAATGAACAGTGTTGTGGAGGGACTTTAGACTGCGGAATATCAAAAGGAAGCTGTTGAAGTCACCAGCCACAACATAAAGTGAGCTATCAATCCACTTTATTAGCAACAAATAGAATGAATCCAAGAAGTTGGCTAGTTCTGCGGAAATATAGTCGGGGGTTGCGTATGATTAGGTTCAACAACAGAAAAATGTCGAGGGTTAAAGTGTGTCCTATATTCAATGGCTTGACAGCAAACATTTCGTGTTGTCTACAAACGATACCAAACGAAGCGTACTTAGGTGATAACACCTCTCCTTTTGGATTTCCTCCCTTGCTGTCTGTCCAGCCTATGGCTGGTGAATCCATCATGCTTGAATAACTTACTATCTACGGCCGAATGAATGCATGATTCTTGAAGTAAAACAACACTACAGCTCGCACATTCCAATGACTTCGGCAAGTAGATGATATGAAACATTTTCGACATGATTGAATGGATAACGGAGGACAGGATCAACGAGACACACTGATCTCATATTTTTCTTCAGGAAATCAACCTTTCACCAGGCTCCATGTTTACGAGGTTTTCCACCCACAAGTTCTTTAATTCTTTCCACTTTATTCCTCACAGAATGCGAAAAATGGCGTAGTTTCTAGTTTATATCGGGTTCAGCAATACCTCGTACAAAAATTAACAACATATGCTTTGTACTTGAGCATCGAGGACACAACTTCTATGTGCCAAAGCAATAAAGATGGCACAAAATAACACCGCGAAGTCCAAAGACCCCGCCTTGAGAATTGGACTTGTAAAATCAAACACGGGGAAAAGACTAGAGATCACAAAGAGAATCGTAAGCGAAAACAGATATATTTGCAGAATACTGTCTGAAATGTGGAGAACTAATATATATATATATATATATATATATATATATATATATATATATATATATATATATAAAACGTACGTTAGATGGGCGCATGAGGTAACAAGTAGAAGCAATAGCTCAGCCATATTTTCAAGTGATATATCTCCGGCTCTTGGTCTTGACCTGGCACTAGGCCTTCACGTGTGTCTCCAAGATGGTGCTTCTCGAAGCATTGGTAACACATCGGTTGAGCACTCGACAGGGATCTGGGGGTCAGGTCTGATAGGTGGTTACTAAAGATCTTAAACACTACAAAATATTGCTTCTGGAAAGCATGATTCGAGTTTTGATGAAATTGTCGGAACACATCCATATGTTGTACGAAGTACTATTAAACCCGTCTTGTCTTTATGCGATAAATTTTGAACCAAACCAAATTTGTCAAGATAACATGTCAATCCACTACCATACGAAATGTGCGGGTAGATCTGGAGCACGAAATGGTTAAACCCGATTATCCCGGGAAATGTGTCTTAGTTGGTACGAAATGCTAATAAACCCAACTGTCATGAAACTGAAAAACAAACAAACAGCGAGTTACGAAACACTGATCTTTATTGGTGATGATTGAAACACAACCTCCAGGTATACTGTCGATGTTGGTCCCGATGGTTTCATGTTCTGTGTTGTCTATTCGTCGAGGGTGGTGGTTATCAAGTCGTTCAAAGTACCGAAGACTCTTCTATCCGCACAGACTGGCCTTGCTAACAGACTCCAGACATTTTCACTCGGGTTCAAGTCTGAGCTGTCAGTGAGCCATTCCATGGTCTTTGATGTTTCGGTACAACGGCCACAATCTGGTAAGGTTAGCCATATTCATAGCCTGGTTGTACTGTTGAAATTTCGTGGTCCTTGGTCAATTTTCCAGTCTTAAGTAGCTAAGAGTAATTTACTATCCTGATGAATGAACAGGTTATCTGGTACGCTTAAAAGACTGCTAGCTAACGTTTTCCTTCTTCGAAGATCGTTCCCCAGACTACCTCAGAGCCACTACCGAAGTCTCGATGATTGATATTCAGATTACTTGTTCTTGCACCAATAGTGCATAATTCTATCAACGAAGTCGAAAATAAACTTCCATTCACCGCTTATTACCCCAGCATTCTATTTAGCACTCCAAGCTATGTAATTTACAGCCCAGTTCATTAGATTTTGAAATTGACAATCAGTCACACAAGGTTTTTTTAAACTGTTGTGTTCGGCCTGAACAGGCATGTGCTCAGACAGACGATCTTGCACGCACACACACGCACATACACAGCTGACGTTTGCCGTGCTTCGTCCCGGACGGCATTGACTAATCAGACTGCATCACGTGTTGCGCGACCTTGCACGACGTGGTCCGATTGTACCGTTGTCGGACATTTCCGATTACATACACGACTGACTCACACACGGGCATACTCGTTTGCGTTTTCACGTGCTTGCTAGTACTGGTGCTTACTATACGTTGCTGCGGGAATATACGTTTATTCATACACGTGCGCCTTGCTTCTTTTACCGAATTGTGAACACAACATAACTAATGCGCCCTTGGATTCATCTACTTTTCCTTGATCCAGTTCAAGAAGCCTTAAACCTCGCGCTAACCCTAAGTTTTGATAAATGTGAGGTCTCTGCTGCCAACCGGGATGTACTGCTTAGATGAAATCCTCACGCATCATGTGCAACTCGACTGTCGTTCAACAGCTATCTTTGTCGTGGTCCGCAGGACGTGCTGGGTGAATGGCCCGCTCGTTAATAATACTTATTCGGCAATCACCAGAAATCAATCAAGTATATCAACAATGCTTGTTTGAATACCGATTGCCCTGTTCACTTAAAGGCATTCGTTACCCATTTGGTAGATACAATCCTATGGCTTGAATGTCTTGTTCCACCCCACGTGTTTAGTATGTCTAACGTAGATGCCTTCATTGCCGCTCCATTAATATCTATAATTGTGTTTTGAGAAATCAGCTAAGTGCTTATTCAGTAAGTAGTATGCACACTTCTCCACACCCTGAGTATCGAAAAAGAATAATGAAGGACCAAAATCGTTGCATTTGCAAACCAGTTCCATGTCTCTGCCGTCAGTTTACGAGTTGGTCTGATAGCATCTTGCACCCCTGAGACACATTTTTCTGGGATAAATTGATCTACCTGTTTCACAATTCAGATCTACGTGCACACTTAGTGTAGTGGTGGGTTGCCAGTTTGACCAATCTGAATGGTTTGGTCAAAAATTTACCGCAGAAAGACAGGATGGGTTTATTAGTACTTCATGGACTGTGCACCGGACCAACAGCCTCAAGGGTGGTGTTATCATGGGTGACCAAGCGTTGAAACAGGCCAAGACATTGAAGCTGTTGATTACTATGGATCTTGTATGCATATACATCTTTGATACTTATAATACTTCTGTCAGGACTTAAATAAGGACAAATGTGGGGAACCGTTTGATTGTCATTTTGAAGTTAGCCTTATATTTTGCTCAGTTTCTCACTGAAGACTAGTCTTGAAAAGTGATTTTACGGATACACTGGGGAACGAGTTTGATGATTATCGTCAGTTGTCTGTTTAAAATGAACGATTTAATCCCCAAGGCTCCCTCATTTGACCGAGTCCCGTGACCGCTGCACACGAGAAATTATTTGAACAGAAAAGCAATCAATATGATTCATGCAAATGGGCTTAATTCATAAAACACCGTCACTTGTAAACTCCAACGGAAGACCCCTCAAAATCAGTGAAACGTTTAAATTTTTAAAAAACATGTTTGGAATAGTTGCCGCCTTGGGATTATCAATTGCAGTCAGTATGCTCAGGTGAGTTCTGAAGGTATACAATACTGATTGTCACGTGAATATATGAATATTCATCCAGTATGATCCCGGATGCAGAATATAATCTTGCGGCAGTAAGCTTGATTCATATCATTATTTCCTTTACATCTGATCCGTTCATTAGAACGCAGTCAAACGATTTGAGAATAGTGTATTCGATTATTTTCATAAAGATGCTGTCGGTGTTAAATTGGCCCATGGTGTAAGTTTGTTCAAAGAAGCTGGAGTGATTGGTAAGCTAGCGGATATGATAGATTGATCTAGCCCTTTCCAACTAGCTTTTAAACGAAGATTAGAAAGAGCAAAAACCCAAAAAGACACGGCTTCGATGATCCTAAGCTTTTTGAACCCGTTCACGTAGTGGACGCTCTCTCTCTGGATCGCCTAGTGTGCTAGATGTGAGTTTAAAATTACGCTATGAGGCTCTTGGCATCCTTTCAGTATTGGTTTTTTGATAGAGATCGAACACTTTCGTAGAAAAACATTGTGACGAACTTGATTTCTATGGTCACACCAGAATTAATTAGCTTTCATTGTAAATTTTCTCGTAATAATAATTAAAAAAATGGTTGTTCTTCATATTTGTGGAGCTCCATTGTACTACACTTTTCAGGCTGGTTGAGAAGAAAACTGATGATACTGATATGTACATTTTTTATCAGTACGACGAACGCATAATCTGTTCTCACCCATGACCACAAAAAGATTTCCGAAGTTCCCGAAAAAAGGCGATGGATTCTCAGTCCCTGCTGCTTCTAGTGAGATTGTTTGCTTTCCGAAGCCTAAATTCAGGGGTCGAAAAACTAAATGAAGCAGTAACTCTGCGTTTTCCAAAAACAGACTCATCCGAAAAATCTATCAAATTTCTATGCTGTGCTAAACTGGAATAGGCCTGATTTTTTATGTACATGCGGTCGATGGAAGTATGCGAACGGAATTTGTTTTGTGTCGATTTTTTCGTCGTAATTTACGTGGGTTCCTCTTATCTAAGAGTTTCTAATACGTCTTCCTGTAATATGGCATCAAATTAATTTAGTTTGATATACATCTGCTTAACTCGGTCTACAGTGACATAAATCTCAGACAAAGTAATTTGAGTTGGTTTTATCTTTCTTTCAGGAGGTAATTTGATTTACTTCGAATTCCGGTGTACCACAAATCTATACGTGGCCAGTAAGCCGGCAGAATGTGTATGGCGTAAGATAATTTTGGAACTTCTCGACCACTGAGTTTATCCACGAGCCTGTGGCTTTTTAGTAAATCTGGCTGTGCTCTGCATAAACTATCATATCTAGTTTCATTCACCTTTACTGAATTTTTGTCCCAGCAATTTTCATGCTATATGCTTTGCTTTAAGTTGAATGTTTTATTTGAAAGAAAACGTCCTAAATAACGTGTTAGCTTTTGGCTGGACTGCTTTTTAGTTCAATCGCTTGCTGTGAGCCAGTTGATCTCCCATATATATATATATATATATATATATATATATATATATATATATATATATATATATATATATATATATATATATATATATATATATATATATATATATATATAGATGAAAAGTAGTCGTGTTAGGCTAAGAAACGGTAAAATGACACATTTGATAGGTGTTTATGATAAATATAAACCGGGAGTATCGCAAAGATATTCTGTATTCTATATATGGAGAAGCATGCAAAAATTTAAACGCACAAATGAGATTCAATGACTTACGAGGGTCCCATGTGGAATGGCTTTGTTGTTGTTCGGGCGCACCGGTTTGGTAATCTAAGTTTTGTCACAACCTGCTTTCCTATTTTGTCTATAGCTCTCGGTTCTCGGTTGGTGACACGATACTAATAATAATCGATAGCGCGTGAAGGAGAGGAACTCGAAACTCTGGAGCGCGATAACACGTGCATAGGAGAAAAGCAAGAGAGTGCGGACAGTGTACACGGGCGGAGCAGGTGGCGCCATCAAAGTCGGTAATCATTCAGGCAAATAAATTTGTGAACAGTAGGAGATTAGATTTTACACAGTCTGAGATTCATCATGTGGAGTGAATGTTCGAACCACAAAAACCATGGAAGCACTCTACAGCTGTTTCATCCTTGTTAGGAATCGTCAGAAGTACATATCCAATGATCCCCAGCTGGGACTCGAACCCTGGGTGAACGATTGTGAATAGAACAACTTAACCACAAGTTTATCCGGGCTGGATTTCAAAGGTTACATGATATAGCCCCCTTACGACACTGGCTTTGAATGTTAGAAGAAAGTTTCTCGCACAGAGAACGACTCCTATGCTGAACAACTTCTCTGTAGGGGCTTAAATACAACAAAGGCATTCCAAAAGACATTCTGGTATCATGGAATGGCACGACCCACAAGCTACTGCTATAACAAACTCGGATGCCCCCCCCAATCACAGTTTTCACTAGGGGAACACATTCTGAAAAACCTCTCGTAGATGCATTTAAGTTGGCCTTCAGAGGTTTTTCATCTCCTAGCTGTTCTCACAGTAGAGATTAGCAACCCTATTTCAAGAACCCTGACCTACGTGAACTGCTCAGAGGCCCTTCCAGCGGTCACTGTTTTAGTCCACTTCAGTTAGGGTTTTGTCGATATCACAAACGGGTTGGGGAGAAAGCCCGGCGCTGTGAAGCCGGTTGCTTCTTCCCGGTAGAGGACTGCCCAGAGTAACGCGGTGCAATAATGGAAAATATTACTGGCACTGACTATGTCCTGGTACTTACACGCTTCAAAGTCTATCCATCGGCGCCTCAAAGTCTGACCGCCGAGCAGCAACAATGTCGCAACCCTGAGAATATCATAAAAGCACAAAGCTCTCTAGACCGCTATTGCAGCCCAGCTGGATACTGTAACTAGTGTGCAAAAGGATTAGTCCTCTGTGGAAGGACAGTGAAATGTGATCAAGTTGGTGGTCAGGGAGGCTGATTGGAAGAAGCTGGGGGAAAATGGAGAACATCTGGAAGACTGAATCTCAGCGACCACCAAGCAGCTGTCAATCAAAGCCCAGGAAGCCCGAGTAGTGGGGAGCACTGAAAGCCAAAGACTACAGTGAGAGGCCTCGGCTGGAGCCGATGGTAAGAGATACTGGAACGAAGTGGCAGAGAAGATGGAGACCACTTCCGGTGCTGGTGAGTCCGGTAAGTTATTTCGACTCATTTGGAGTGCGATGCAAGCCTGAATTCTTCTTACGTGATGCAGCAGGCTAGATTATCCCTGAACGGAGAATAAAAATCGAATGTTGAGTGAATTATTTTGTCCGGCTTCTCACCCGACCTTTCGATCTCACCGCGGACCTCCCGCCCTCCCCGAGTGCACAGGTGTACGACTTAAGCTGCTAGCCACCAAGTATGACGGATATCACTAGGGTCGTCAACCAGCTGGAAAACAGAAAAGCTGTTGGAGAGGTTAGCATACCATCAGAAGTGTATAAGACCTGTTTGTCATCACTGATAGACAGGCCCCGTTGTCTTGGTGAACCTCTGGATTATTCCCAGTCAGTGATTCCTCAGTCGTCCAATCCCCACGGAGAAGTGACCACAAAAAAGTGCGGAAACTGTATTCAGTTGTGACCAAAAAATATACACTTTATATAGCATGACGCAAGGAGTACATGAACACACTTGGCGCAGTTATTGATTTTCCAGCATGGGGTGCAGATGTGATTGATTAAGTCGGATCACAATGTTTCATACGTCTGATTGGTTGGTGGGTGTGCGTGAAAGGTATACAGTAAGTTGTTTGTTAGTGGTCGATGGGGACAGTGACGCGTGACGGACTGATTGGTTTATGGACAAATGCTTGACGACTGTACTGCTGTGCGGGATACGCGGGCCTTATCATTGGTTAACGTCAACAAAACACTCTGTCGCCTTGGTGGTCAACTGAAAACGTGGTTGAGCACAGTCGAGAAAGAAATGGAGCTCCTCGGACAACGTACAGTCTACGGCCGGCGATGCTGGAAGAAAAACTGGGTGACAATTTACGAGGAGCTCACATTTAACCGTCGCCCCTGGTAGGCGATAATCCCCGATTTCCGTGGGGCCGATTTATCCTCTGACCGGAGATAATCGTGGAAAAGTTAAAGGTATCAAACAGAGAAACTAATATCCCGACGCGTTCCAACGACTATATCAATCGGCGGCCAAAACAGTAGTCGGCCGTCACATGTTAGATATTCAGTTTCCGAAATCCGGTTTCTGATGGGCACTGGTGCAGGGGTTGGAGTCATTCCAAAATAACCAGGTGATACAACCAATCCATCAACCCAACAATTATGTGCCACCTACGACATTCCTGTTGCTACTCCCGGGCGCAAGCCTCTAACATTCCACTTAGACCTGCGTTGCACCTTCCGCTGGGTGTTCATAGTGGTGGATATCCCCTGTCCTATACGGAGTAACGATTTTATCAAATATTTCGACCTATTGGTTGACGCACTACGTCGGAGAGTTGCCGACCGACGGACTTTTCTTTCCCTAACGGGTTCATATTCCTCCGTGAATCACCTCACATCCCTATGCACCAAACTATTGGCCCAACACCTCTACGCAGAACTCCTTTCGGCTTACCCGGCAGTGCTAAGGCAGACCATCCCCCTTCCAGCAGAGAATACTAACGTCACTCATCATATCATCACTAAAGAACCCTCAGCTTTCGGCAGGCCCCATTGCTTGGCGCCGTCTCAAGCTAAGTTCGGATAAAAGCTGGAACCAGAAATAGTATGTCAGTCCAGTACTCCATGAGCCTCTCCTCTTGATGTGGTCCTTAGAACTAATTAACACTGGTTTCCCTGTGGTGACCATAAGACCTTTAGTGAAGCTGCGACCTCAGATCGCTAACCCATTCCACACATTCAGGATCGAACTTCTTACTTAACTGACTGTTCCGTTTTCAGTCGCATCAACTTAGTCGAAGAATATCATAAAATCGCGGTGGCAAAGGCCGACATCCCCAAAACCTCGATCACTACTCTATGCGGATTACTCGAGTTCCTGCGCATGCTGTTTGAGCCAGCAATGCAGCCGAAACCATTGAAAAGTTTATACATGAAGCATCACAGTGTTTGAAAAACGTTTACATGTACTTAGACCACGTTTGGTGGCCATTTCCTTAGAGAAAGGGCAAATGGCACACCTATTCCGCCTCTTCCAGCTCCTTAGCTAGCATGGTGTAAACATAAACCGTACCAAATGCGAACTGAGTTTGCCCACCGTCACTTTCCTAAAATACGACATTTCAGCCTCTACCAAACAAGGTAGCAGTAATTCACGACTATCCTGAACCTCAATCTTTGTAGTAGTTGAGCCAATCCTCTGGGCCTGTTAACTTCTACCTCTGGTTCAT